GTGGAACGGCAGAGCGACAGGAGATCAAGCTGTTTCTCCGACATTCGTGCTGCTTACCGCGCCAACGAATGTCCAACCAGGTCGCTATGAGCCTTCCGCGGAATTTTAGAAATACAGGAAATCCGACTGATTCTCCAAATATTGTATCCAAGGCACCCGGTCTCGCGAAGCGGGATAGTCGCATGATCAAGGTCGCGGCGAGAGAGCAATTCTCGACTGTTTTCTCTGTGCTCCCTTGAGCTTCGAAGCCAACGTATATGCATTCCATGCCAAAACAACATGTGTTATTGAACTGGAGAATTCAGTCGTTGGTTTCCTCCCCCTGCTCCCGACACCCCCTTCCTCCATAAGTTTAAGATCTTCAAAGGCAACACGAGTAACCTTGCAGCCGAAACTTGTAAGAGCTATAGAAACAGAGAGACATGATTCTCAATTTCTTTCGCTGCCTCTTCACGGGTGGCGCACGTTCAATCGTTGCAGTGTCATGGGTTTCTCAGAGATAGATTCTGTTTGATCTATGCACTGCCAAAATTACTCATCTATCACCTTCTTTTCACTTTTGTACAGCCTTGTCACGTGTGTCTCCACATCAAACCACATCATCAGCTTTAACTCCCCTCTTCCATATCTTCTGCCGCACCAATGCCTTCCTCGAGCACCTCAGGCAAAATTTCCCCCTTTCCGACCTTCTTCTTCCCATTCTCATACATGATCCTCTTCCATCCTTCCCGCTCATTCGGATCCTTGACGAATTCCATCGTGGGGAAATAATGCTCGTTCTTCTTCATCGTCGCCACCCAGGGGACATTATCGAATGTCATGACTTTGAGACGGAAATATGTGTTGTCGGGGATTTTGTTGACTTCTTGGAGGAGTTCTGGAAGTGTGTTGACTGGAGTGGCGTTGACTGCGAGGATGAAATTCGTTGGGGCGAGACCGTAGGCGTATGATGGGGAGCCACGGAATCGAGCAGAGACGTAGATGTCGGAGTGGATTTTTGAGATTTGTTGGCGGACGGCGTGGTGAGGACGATGAAGGACTGCGCCGCAGAAGACGAGGATGTGGTGGGTTTCGAGTTCTTGGGTGGGGACTGTGGGGATTGTGAGGGAGAGTTGTTGTTGTTTGCGGATGATGAGGGCTTTGAGGGATGGGTTGGTGTACATTAGGTCCATGTTTGTCACGCGGGTGATGAGTTGATCGTTGAGGGTGAGGATGATGTCGCCTTCGAGGAGGGACGATTCGCCCGGTTTGATTGATTCGTCGGCGTCGACTTTGCGGACCATGAAGAGCTGGTGGCGTTCGGGGTCTTCGCGTTCGACGCGGTCGATCCATTCTTCGGGCACGCCCATAATGCGGGCTTGGGACATTTGAATCGTCTGTGTCTCGAGGTTGAGAATGTTGAGTTGTGGGTTCTTGCCTGTTCGCACCTCGTCGATCACCGGGAGCAGACCTGGCGTAGAGAAACCGAGATGGTACTCGATGTCTTTGCCGCTGTGGCCTGTGCGCTCGCCAAGGTATGTGAGCCAAAGAGCCTGCACAGTGCCGTCTTCGCTGATCAAGACACCGCTGCCGCACTGCGCACTGAGCGATGTGTCTACAGTGATCGCATCCAGATTGACAGCACGGTAACGAGGAGTTGAGGCGCTTGCGGGAATAGCCACAGTCGTGATGTCCGTCACGGTGGTCTTCGCAACGACGGGCCGCAGGTTCTGGTTGAAGCCGAAGAATATCGTCGACTCTCCCTGCTTGATCTGCTCGGTGGCCAATTTGGCAGTTCGCACATCCGCCTGTACGAGCTTCGGATCATATTGAATGACCGTGTAGTTTTGCAGCGGGTGTAGGAAAACGACTTTGCCCTCTACGATGATCGAGTCTGCGATGGTGACTGAAATGTCGCACATGTCGTAGGGCACAATCGCTCGTGAGATCACGACCAGACCCTTCTCGGCATCAATGACCAGACCAAATCCAATCTTGCGAGCTTTCGGAAAGCCATCGAGCTTCAGCGGCAGAGTGACAGATACCCGCACGAAGGACTTGATGATGTCCACAGCAGCCTTGTGCTGCGCGCCGGCCATAGTGATGAAGTTGCCCTTTCTCGGGACGGGTGCTGTAGGTGGTATAGGTTCGGCCAGATCCGTAAAGTCCCAAAGGCCGCTCTCGTCGTTTCGGACCGCCATGCGCATGTTCTTGCTCCAATGCCGATCGACAAACATGATACTCGTGTTTAGCGTGTGCATATCTCGTAAATGCTTGTACGTGACTACCACTCTGCTGCGATCCGGGATCCCTTTCATGACCTCGACGAAAGTGTCCAGGTCAGGCGTGGGCTTGTGGTCAATAGACTGTATCAGCCACCCGTATTCAGAGCCTTCAAATCTGAAGGAGCCTGCAGCTTCGCAGCAGTATACGCCAGCGCCCTCTATCGCGATTGCGTATAGTCTCGCCTGCTGGTAAGACAAGTTGTGAAATGCAGCACCGGCAACTGATACGAAGCGATCGGGAGTAATGAGGTGGAGATCACCAACGTTAATCTCGACTTCCATGTCTTGGCCGCCTCTTTGAATCAATAACTTGACTTTGCCGCCAACGCTGTCGTCAAGAACGGCGTCCAACCTCACGAACTGCGTGAGGAGACTGTCGTTGACTTTGAGCAGAACATCGCCCTCCTCTAGCTTGCCATCTGCTGGTCCCTTAGGCAGCACGACTTCTGCTACGAGCATACCCGTCTCCTTCGGGAACTCTGCTCGCACCTTGCTTTCCCACTCCGGAGTGAGCCCAAGCCTTCGACATTCATCGAAAGGTTTCAGTATCCACTGTGTCTGAATTGTCCCTCGATCCACATGCTTTCCTTCTCGAATGCACTGCAGCGCTCGTAACGGTCGATCCAGAGGCAAAAAGTAGTCTGTTGCGGCGCCGTCCGATCTTCCACCGGCCTGCAGCGCGACTGCATGTCCATCGATGTTGACCACAGGCGATCCCGAAGACCCTCCACTTGCTGCAGCAGCGGCCTGAATGTAGTTTGTGTTGAAATCGCTGTAGCCCTCGCCGTACTCGGGAGCATTCCTGTCCAATCTAGAAATGACTCCAGACAAGATACTCAGTTTCTCTCCCGCATCGTTACCCACAACTCTGATCTCAGCGCCAACTTTTGCGAGGTCTGGCCTCAGTTCCAGCGAGCTCAACTTGATGTAGCGAATCTTTTCGGGATCAAAGCGCAAGATGCCGAAATCGTGTACTGGGTCGCGATAGACAGGAAATACATCGCACTCCTCGTGGTTATCGAATATGACATAACCCCAGAACGGGCCAGCGCCGACGACGTGACGATTGGTGAGAATGTATCCGCGCTCTGCATCGACAACAAATCCAGTGGCCTCGCTCGAGATGGCGCTGTCTGTGTCGAACGAGCAAGTCTGGCAGAAGTGAATGCTGACGACATTGCTGACCACTTTTTCGATTGTGGCCTGCCATTCTGCAGTATCTGGCCCGGAAGCTGGTATCACACTCATGGCGTCCTCATCGACTGAGTGCTGAGGAGACACGTGCCCGTTGGGTGTGTCTGCTGCTGAAGCTGTGACGCCGTTCTCGATCTTCTTCCCACCATTCTCCATCTGCAGAGATTGTGAAGGCCGTCGGACCTGTTTCGTGGGCCGCGAGGAGTCATTGCCGGCCGGGGGCTGCTTGCGCTTGGGCGAAGCATGGTCCATGTTGCTGAATCGGCGAGAGATTGATTGCAGGGAGATGCGGTTGTGCTGTACGGATGTATCTCTAGCGCGTGACAGAAGTGAGGGTGCTATGGAACTGCTGCTTGTCGATGCGCCGGGGCGGAGTGATCTCGAAGAGAGTGACGGGGTGGTAGTGGCAGTGGTGGACGCGGTGGTGATGGCTCGGCGGGACGCGTGGTGCAGCAAAGAGGGAGAGGCGCAGTGTTTGCTGAGGAAGGTCGTTGTCGCAGGCAGCCTGGCCAAGACTCTACCATGGAACATATAGAAACGAGAGGCGTGACTGTCGGCCTGGAAAAGTCGTCGCAGCATATGCACAGCGACGGCGGCGGCGGCGGGTCATCAAAGTGTTTGTATCACTCCCGCGCCGAGTCCGCAACACCACCAACACACCGCGCGCCTTCCAGGGGTTCGACGTCACTTCTGTACAGGTACATCCACTTCACCACGCGAGGCACATCCACTTTCCATTCATCAATCCATTTCATGAGCAGAACTATGTGCGATAGTCTGCTATGCCTGCGCGGCAGTGCTGCATCGTCGCGTGTCATCATGCAGCGTAGAAGTCGTTAGTCGTCGTAAGTGAGGTTGAAGGGTCACTCGCAGAGCGCCACCAAGTCTCCAAACCTGCCAGCCATCATGTGAGCCGGCCCAACACCATCACAGATGCAATGCAAGAAAGCAAGCAATATGCTGCCCACCCTCAATTCATCTCCACGTTGGTGTCCTCATCCTCGGCCTCAGCCTTGACCTTCTCCTCGGCAACCGGAGTCTCGCTCTCGACCTTCTCTTGGTCGTCAGCAGCAGCGGTGACCTTGGCGGGGGTCTTCTTCTTGGTAACTCTCTGCTTCTTGGGCTTTGGAGTGGCTTCGTCGCCGTTCTCCTCGCCCTCGACGGCAGCTTTGGCACCGCGCTTCTGCTTTCGTGTCAGTCTGGAGTGAGTCTGAAGCTAGGTCAAGATGCTTACCTTTGGAGTCTTGGCTGGTGGCTTCGCTGGAGTGTCCTCCTCGCCGTTCTCGCCCGCTGCCTCCTTCAGCTTCTTGAGCTCCGTGCGCTGCTTGTCGAGCCAGACTTGGCAGGCCTTCAGGGAGCGGCCTTCTGGCAACTTGACTTCCTTCCAGTTGATCTTGTCGCAGGAAGAGTTGATGATGGCGAAGAGGAGACCAAGCTGTTGGACTGTTAGCGGCATGCTCTGTGCTACTCCGAATTCGCTAAGGTAGGGTGAAGCGATACCTTCTGAACCTCAGTCCAGGTCTTGGAGTTGGCGGCCTTTTGTTCTCCGGCTTCAGACGCCTTCTTTTCTCCTGCGTCAGACATGGCGGAAGTGATTGCTTCTTGGATGAGGTTTTGTGTTGATTCAGATGTGAGGAGACCTCGAGGCATCAACCTTAGGTCGGGACTGTTGTGCTATGAGTGCGGGTTTCGTTGGGGTGTGGGAAGAGGAAGAAGAGGACGACAGAGGGAAGAGCGAGCTTAAGTGGGCGACACAGAAGTGGAGAGCTCACTTCTGAATAGGCTGCCATGTGAGTACATGATTGTTCGTGCAGCTCCTATTGTCACGGACCCTCAGCAGCTTTCCATTCACTCAATGAATGGCAGTGCCCCACTATCACGGCTCGCGCCACGCTACAATCCCTGTCCAACGGCCGACAATACCTGCACCGCTGCCTGCGTACGGCACAGCAGTTCGATAGCAGAAGCTGTGGTGAAGGCTTTTGCGCTCTGCAGTCACCCTCGCCAACATCAGCCTCCACATCGACGGACACTTCTTGAAAGCTCAAGCTCGTGACCGAAAAGTCTTCGCCCGCCGCGATTCTCTCAATTACACTTCACTTCACCTTGCCTGTGATCTGAGCATTCTGCTCAGCACACCATTTCACATGGCACCTTTCACACCGCCGTTCACCCCAAAGTTGTTTCGACAACACCTGGACTATCTCAAAGGCAAACGAAACACCACTTCACCAACACCTCAACCAATAATGGCCAGCAACAGCAACGACCACAGAGACTCTCCTTCCGCGTACGACTCCCCGTCACCGCAACACGCATCGCCTTCAGGCCGAAAGCGCAAAGCGGAGGCGACTGATATCGAAGACTCTGGCAGCAAGCGCCTTCACCTTGAGTCCGACGGAACAAAGAAAGCCGTTGACGGCCAATTGGTGCCAGTTGTCTCTCGCCGCGAGACTGATGCGCAACTTCTGCTCCATCAAGACCACCATGACTCGGTGAACACTGCCCGGGGTGACGAGAGCGAAGACGAGTTTGTCGACGCTGAAGAGGATGTCTTCACCTCGCGCGACCCTACCACGCTCGATTTATCAGTAGGTGCTGGCAACTTCGATGTGAGCATGGATGATGCGAACGACGATGAGCTCAGCGCCTGGCGCGCAGACCACACAGAGCCTCCGAGCACTTTTATGTCGGACCAGGCTGACGCAGACTTGTTGAGCGCCAGCTTGTTTCCAGAGCTAGGGCCGATGGGTGCTTACGCGTTGGATGGAGATGACATCGGCCTCGCTGAACCAGATTACGGACAGGAAGGCATCGATGACGGCATAGAGGCCCGGGTCAATGAGGATGATGTTCTTGATCTTACGCAATCTCGCCCTTTGGAGCGTCCTGAGATGAACACTAGTGGTGTTGCGTTCCACGACCAGACAGCGTGTGCTCAAAAGTTCGATGAGTTTGATCAGGAACAGCAGGCAAACGAGCCGGAACTCACTCCATTCATCAATGAAACTCAGAACCAGATGTCTTATCCTCCGGCAACGAATGAGGGTGATCAGGAAATGGATACAGATGAACCAGACCTCGATGCGTTCATTGCTGAAGCAAATGGAAAGCGACCATATGCTAAGCCCCTCGAGGATGAGCCGATGTCTGAAGCTGCCGTCGAAGACCTCGCATCGGCATCTCAACCGCAAGCACCTACTCACATCGAAGAGGAGAACGGAGTCCACAAGCTCGTAGGTCAGGATGGCCAGATTGACGCCTTCATTGTCAAGATTGGAGCCACACCAGAGTGTGATCCACAGCCACATGCCCTGCCTGGAAGCGGCGAGTTGGCTCACGAGCATCAAGAGCACCAGCAAGGCTACACTGCAGGCTCGGAATTACTCAATCTCAACTCTCTGAACGATCAGCCGGATCTTGAGATCGTTGCTTGCAACGACTCTGCCCTCGCCCAGTCCTATGAAGCACAAGGCTATACATATCAGGACCCATCCAAGCGCATCGCCACGCCTCCTCCACCAACTCCGGCAGCACCAGCAGCCAGCACTTCCAACTCCCAGGGCCAGATCCTCCTGCCTGACGGCTCTACCTACAACGTCTCCAAAACCAACGCGAGCACTGCCGTCCTCCGCACCGCCGAACTCGCCAGAATCGCCGGCACCGACGGACCCGTCATCCCACGAGACTTCTCCAAATCCTTCGAAGCTTACCACGCCTTTCACGTGCGCGCCCTCGCCTGCCGCCCTGAAATTCCAATCCCCTTAGCAAGCCACCGCTACTGGATCGCAATCCTCTACCCAACTAAGAAACCGAGAAACGCCAAATCCGACAAAGATTTCATGTGGATGAAGGGAAACCGTTTCTCGACCGTGTGCACCATCTGGCACAACTTCTCACTGCGTACAATGGAAGAGGATTTTGTGCTGACGTGTCGTGGGGAGGTGCTGGATATGAAGGATCAGGTGCAGGAGTTGGATTGGTTTGACAATAAGTTTGTGGTGATGAGGGCTGTGAAGACGGGAATGCTGGAGAAGATGACGAATGGGAAGCCAAAGGGGTTGTTCGGTGAGATTGGAGTGATTCCCGAGAAGAAGATTGAGGTTGTGGAGCTGGAGTGAGAGGGATGAGAGATGAGGGTTCTGGTGGTTGATTCAAGGAGAGGGTGGGAAATTTTTGAATGATGCAAGCTCGACCGATCCTCGCATCGAGCGGGAAGGGATCTACTGCGTGCGATATTGCGGAGAGTTCGCCTGTGAAGTTTCTGGAATTAACACACTGCGATCTGATTGCTGATCGCTTCGCTGAATGGCACGAATGAGGTCCTCAAGCAGAAGCAACGGCTTTGGTGCTGCGAGTAAGAAGCGATCTACTGCGTGCAATTTTGAGAGAAGAGTTGCATGTGAAGCTCCTGGACTAATTGGACCGCGACTCGATCGCTGATCGCTCCGCTAAGTGAAGCAGTGGCTATAGTGCTGCGGCTGACTGGGCTGCATTCGCAAGCACACGACGAAATACATCGTGAGCTCAATCACATCTTACTTGAAGATATGTAAGAGTAGCATCAAACTCCCTGAATCTTTCGCTAAAGTCTTCTCGCGGCTTTTTGCTTTGTCTGGGACTGGTCCTGCTCTGTGCGCTCCGCTCGGTGGCTGTTCTGTTTCCAACACCGGCGCTGTTCCGAGCCTTACATGCCTCCAGTCATGGCCCTGGCTCGTCAACCATTCCACGCCCGCCAATTAGACATCAAATTCGATGTCTCGCACGTGTTCATCCTCGGTCTGCTTCTCTGGCCATGAAATCCCTATGCTTGAATTGGTGCTATTCGTCCAAGCCGAAGCGGTCCGGAGGCGCGAGATGGGCTCGCACGCCTCGGATTCCTGGTATACGCATCTCATTCCACGGCCGATCACGATCGCTGCAATGACTCCTCTCCAGGCCCTCAGCACGAAGTTGCCTGAGCAACTGCGGCAGCCATGTCCCAATGCTCATGTGGCTCCATCATTTCAGCTGTAATTCTTCCCGGCATAAGTGGAACACGAAAAGATGCTCCGCCCTTCTGCATGCAACCCAGTCTTTCTCACCCCTCCGTTCTCCTACTCCAATTTATCCAGATGCTCCAATCGCGTAAGCACCACCTGTTTGCTAGTCTCCTGGATTTCGCCTGCAAGGAAGACTTCGTCCAGAATGGCATAAACCTAGCATTCCACCAAAGTCAGCTTTCTATGCTCTTTCCCTCAAATTGTCCGAGGATATCCGATCTCTTGTCCCATTTCCCCGACTCATCTCATTCGAACGTACCTTATAGAAGTTGAACACCAAATCCAACTCACACACATTCCCAAAGAACTGATCCAGTACTTCAACGAAGAAATGTATTGCTTCCAAATACGCTAACTCATTATCGTTTGCATCTACGCACGCGCAGAAGAATAACCCGGCGTATCGGCGATAAACGATCTTCGAGGAGCCGCGGAATTCGACGAAATTGGATTGGTGCTTTTGGTCACGAGGTGCTACGAGACGGTGGACTTCGCCTTTGAGTTTGATTTTGTCGTCGTCGTTGTAGGGGGAGTACCATTTCGCTAGCCGGGTCTTGCCTCTATCAAGAGGGGTCAGATTGTAGGGAGGTTTGGGGGAAAGACGGGGGAGACGTACTGGCGATTTTGGATTAGAATGAAGGAGATGACCATTTTGGAGGCGAGCGGAGATCTGGGAGAAGGATTTCGAGGATTGTGAGCGAAGAGGTGAGGTGCATTGGCAGTGCTCGTAGCTGGCGAGTAGAGCTGTGGTGTGTGCTGTCTCGTGGGCTTCGGCAACTCTAGCAGCCCGGTAGGGACTAGCGCTGGTATCACGTCTGAGAACATGAGACAGCAACGGCAACTCGAAAGTGCACTCTGCCTTCTGCACTCCATTATCCTGCTCACCAACCTACTCGTAGTGGCAGTCGCGTGCGCTTCTGCCCCATTCCAACACGCCGGAGGTAGGTGACAACTTTTGCGCATCTCATACCTTTGCATCGCTCACGGCCGACTCGTCTGCGACGCGTCGTGCAATGACAACTCAGCAGCTCAGGCAAAGCAGGACAACTCCACGCGATGGCCTGCACAGTCACTGTGCCATTCTGGCCTGTCTCCTATGACAATGTACACTGGTCCAAGGACAATCAGATTGCCGTACTCGGAGGCGAGCACGTTCTCATCGTCACACCACGTCTAAAGGAGCCCTCTCCCGGCCGCTTATGGTGGGACACGGAGAATCTCATCAGGATCAATGCCTTCATGATTGCCGAGTGCCCGCGAGCGCCTGCCTTGACAGATCGCCACCTGTCGATAGGTGAAGAACTCTCAATCTTTCAAGGTCAAGCCGCAGCGTGGTCGCCTTCTGGCCTTACGAGATTTCGTGGGAGCGCACTTGCTGTGCTGACGAGTAATCATGTTCTGAGTCTGTGGGCCCACGAAGCGGAGGCCAAGGAGACCCCGGCGTGGAAAAGAACTCTTGTGATCAATTGGGCTGTTCGCAAGTTCTACCAAGACCTCAACGCCGCTACGCCAGACAGCGCATTAGATGAGCGGGAGCTCGAAGAGCGATTGCAGATACAGCAAAGGATTCACTCATTCTCATGGATACAGCCATGCTACAATAACCTGGAGCGACCATACCCAGATCTTTTCCCAGGACAACAGTATCTCGTGGTTGCGACCGAAGGTGGCCACTTGTTGCTTGTGCGAATTGTTTCTCCATCCACTCATCAATTGAACAACCAGAAGAGCTGGCAGGCGATTGTGTCCGGGAGTCTGGCAATCGAACGTGCTACTAACTTGGTCAGCAATGACACTGCTCACACAACGCGGCCGACGACTTTGTTTCCTCCAATTTCCGATGATGATTACATTGCAGCTCAAGCCCTCGCAGTCGGCGAGTGGCAATCGGTTGGAAACGATGGTGAACGCATTGCGGCTTTGGCGTACATCGTAAAAGGCATGCTGTTCACCACTGTACTTACACATGATGCGAATGGCTCAGCATCGTTTGGCCCTTCCGAATCTGTGCAAAGATTACTCCACCAACGCTCCGATCTGGTGGGCCCTTTGAAGATCACTCAAGGAATAGACGCAGGCTCTGTCGTTCTATTCGGGCTGGACACCGTTTTTCATGGACAGCTCGTTCTTGACAAAGACACACGCACCGTCCGATGCGACTTTCAAGATCGCCACCTCGATGACAGATGGGATGATGTGACAGCTACGGCGATCACGAGCGGCGCCGATGGGGAAGCGCGCCTGCATATCCTCTCCCATCTGTCAAGTTTGACGTCGCCAACATATGCCCTGAAGCTGCCGATAGCCCCAGAAGCTAGCGCCACTGAGCAGCCAGCATGGCATCAAGCTTTGGAGAACTCCAAGGCAGCTTTTGGAGCTACTTACGATCTCGGAGACCGTGTGCAGGAGCGAACTTGGGGGATCGCGTGCGCTCCCGTCGGCGAATACACAGCTACCTGTGCTAGCATGCACCCAAACGATGTTGTTGCGTACATCATCAATGCCGAACAGGCGTCGTTGCTGAATATCACGATCGAATCAGAGACGCATGGGGACCCGTTGGAGCTGAGTGCTGACGTGCTTGGCATCTTCGATGGCCTATCGACAAGCACAGTCTTATTTTTCCTGAAACGGCACCTGGAGCGCAGCGCCGAATCGGATATCCCAGTGGAAATCTCGAGCGAGGGCCTGGTCAAGGACGTGAAAGGTTTGCTATCACCCAAAGTCAGCACAGGTCGCGGTCAACAATCACAAGACGGCGATAGTCTTGATGCGCTGCTGTCGCAGGCAAGAATCCGGATTTTTGCAGACCAAGAAGTGCGACACGCTCACGCGCAAAGAATTTGCGACTTGGCCGCAGAGAGCAACACAGTTCGACCCGATTGTATCATCACTATAGTCAGACAAGTTGCGGAAGTCCTGTTCGACTCATCCCAGGAGCAACTTCACATTGGTACCCTCAGTCTGTGCATGCGAAGGATCTATGACATGGCGTTGTCTAAGCTGGACAAGGACTATCTATTGGGCGACACCGAGCCCTCGGCGAGGGGATGGAACGAACAGTGCAAGATATGCCAGCAGCCAATAGTCTTTGAGAACTTCAAGTGGGCGAGGTGTCAGCAAGGACACCAGTTCAGCAGATGTGCGCTTTCGCTCCTAGCGATCCAGGAGCCCGGAACGACCAAGCACTGCAGTGTATGCGACCTGCAATACTTCGATGAAACAATCGCTCCAGACTTTCAGTTGGACGATCATGACATAGAGATGGCCGATGTTCTGGAAGGGGAAGTTTCTTCGACTACTCCAGCCAATGATGGGTGGGTCAAGATTTCACAAAGTGGAGATGCTACTGCACGACCTAAGACCACCCTGGCAAGACTCCTCTTTGCAGCATGCGACGTGTGCATATATTGCGGCGGCAAGTTTGAGGATTGAATGCAGCAGTTGTGTGACCTGTCGCGTTAGCCAATCTCTACCCGCATTCCACGTGTTGCTGGGACGGACTGATAACAACAGTGACTTCACTGCGGAAACGCTTATGCGCGCTAATTGTCGCTATGCACGTCTTTGATGTATCTCGTTCACGCGTCAAGCGTGATTAAGACTTCTCGCACAAGACAAGAGGTCTCTGCTCGCCGCGTCAGAGAAGCTAGCTTCTATCAGTGCGATATATTGCACGCCGCCAAGCCGACCGATCGAGCGGATTGCATGTAACCGCATCGACACGAAACTGCACGCGATAGGAAACTTCCCGCAATGGATACTGGGAGAGAAGAGGATCATGGTATACACATGGACAGCAATAGCATCAGATTTTCCAACTCGCCAGCCCGCAGAACGCAGGTCCAGCAGGTGCAAAGTCCAACTAAAAGCATACATCCCGAGCACAACGCCATGAATGATCAAACGGAGTCGATCCACAAGCAAGCGGATTATGGAATGCGAACGACGGACTTCTTCGATGATGAGTCTGGTGATGAAGGTGACGGGTTACCTCGAGCCATCACAACGGATACGTTTGACTCTAGATCAAGGTCTCGTTCACCGGCCAAGCGTAAGCAGATGCCACCTTCTGGGCAGTCATTTGTGTCGAGATGCGAGCCTAAGAGGGTCAGCATGAAAGCATTGGAGCCCGAATCGGAAGGATATCAGCGAGTGGATTCCAATTTAGATCGTCAAGTACCGAATCCTGATATGGCGGACACGGAGTCTTATGTTGGGTCTGTGGACGAGTTCTTGCCGCAAACGAGTCCAGGTGGATCGCAGCTTCCAAAACCTGCTGCGCGACTGTCTTCCACGACGCGGTTTCGAACGTCCGGGCTAGGATGGAATGCTGCATCGCAGGCGGCAAACTACCAGAACATATATGGACACAATCGTGGATCTTCGACGTACTCCGACAAAGTTGACCAAAGACTTGGCGTGCATCAGATGGCTTATGAGATGCTCATTCAGAACATGATCAATGACCCAGAGTTGGTGAGCAACAAGCGATCAACGCTGAAAGAACAGAGAATCTCGATGCTACCCGCAGCACTGCGCACATTCGACCCTCGTAGCCCTCGGGACCAACTTCCCGCAAATCCATCGCCAGAACGAACATCGTCCCATCGTAGCGGCAAGAAGGCTCGTTTTGTGCCTTCGCCCATTGATGTGGGTGATACACGGAATTCTCTCCCAAGCGACCTCGTTCGAACACCGTATCCACATTATCGAGATTATCGGAAGGATCTACACCGATCACCACCAATTCCAGAGAGTCCTGGTGCTCTACAATCAAGCGACAGTCTCCTGACCCTCAGCATCCGACGCTCAAACCCGAACTCTCGACCACGCGTAACGACGCTCACGATCCCGGCCTCGAATGACTACTCTGCAATACGGACGAATGAGAAAGGCACTACGGAGCAACATACTTCATCCCACAACTTCGACGACCAGGACTTGTTCCATCAAATTCACAGCGCTTACAGATCCCTCTCCGGTCCGTTTCTCCGTGCTTTCTCAGCGCGAAGTCTTTCTCGCATCGTAGTATCTGGTCCCACAACACGAGGCGCGGATACTGGGCACGGCTGGCTGCTTGATCCTCGGAGTCCAAGGATTCTAGCGTATCAAGGTCTCACGGATACTTTTTCAGAAGAGAAGTTCATGGAAATGTATCGCCGACCAGTGGCGGGCAGACAAAGATTCGCGTTTGTGCATTGGGCGAGACGGTTGGCTGGTGCTGGAGGAGGTTCGCAGCAAAAAGTTCGTTCGAGCACGAATGAGAGGAATGTTGAGAGAGATGCTGAAGTTGAAGCTGAAGCTCCGCAAGGACAGCCGAATGCAACGCCTTATTCTCCGAACGATTATGGGGAAGACGATGATATTATCTTTCGAGCTGAACAGCCTGAGGGTTTGGAATTCGTGGTCAGCTGGAGCGCATCGAGGATTCTTTGCGCTTTGACTGCGATTCTGATATTTTCGATTGCTGCGTGCTTACTGTGGATCTTCCTTGGAGACCAAACAGCGCCCTCTGAGCCTTTCACACTAGGTAGTGCAGGCTTTCGAGGCGCGGGGGATAGAGTGGAAAGTGGAGTCTTGATTGGGGTTCTGGTCTTGCTAGTCGGTCTCACGGGCTTCGGAGGGTGGCTGGGTGTTAGCTGGTTGGTGATGTGAGGTTGACAGGGCAGGTAATATGTTTCGTAAACTGTTGGAACTTTTTTTTTTCGAAGCAACGTAGCTTTTCTCGTAGTTCTTTTCTTAGTTCCTATGATGAGGGTTGAGAGTCGTGATGCCTGTCACTTTGACATCTTTTTCTAGACTTCGATCTTCGAAACTGGACGTGGTTGGACAAGCTTTGCAAAATGGCGTGCTTGATCGGGGTGCTGAAACGTGAGGCATGCAGGTGTTGTTTATGCTTGGGGATAGTCGTTGGGTTCATGACTCGCTTCAGGAAAAGTTTTTACTTTGGACTGGTGGCCTTGTTATAGGTCGTGTGCGATGTTCTGTATTAGCTTGTTGGTCATTGAGATACCGGATTGATGAAGCAAGATGAGATAAGTGAAGTGGAAGAAGTGCTTGAGGCACTACATTATTGTAGTGCTGCATCTCCCAAAAGCCCCATACCATCCATTACAGCGGTCTAACAGGTCCGCACCACGCTCAACACCTTGCACGTACAAATACATGTTTGTAGAAGTGGCCGTGAGGCCGATAAGTCTAAGCCTTTCTTTCTCGTGTCATTCCATTAGCTTCTCTTGCGCGTGTGTCATTGTCACCTCCCAGCAGCCGAACTGCTTCCTGAAGCCAGCCTCACATGGCAGGGCTGGGTAGGCTTTGCTTCTTTGGTCGAGGTCTTGCTCGCAGTGATCCTGAGGAAGATGCTGGGTCCGCAATTGTTGTCGTAGCTAAAGCAGCCGAGGCATAGTAGCGTGCCATGACCTATGAATGTGTTAGTCTTGAAGTTTGAGATTGGCGTGAAAGGTTTTGTGCGTACCGCAAGTACAGATGAAACTCGCTGAGGTGTTGTCTCGAGAACACTTGCAGCAGATCCAGGACATTGTGGTCGAGCTCCTCTCGGCAGTAAACTGGAAGCTGAGAAATGCTGCTAGGCGGCTGCGTTGTGTTTGATTTGGGTTTGTTCTGTTGCTGGTGCTATTGTTTGCCCAGCGCGGCAAAATAGATCGATTCGCCGACGTGTGCAGCAGGCTCGTCCAGTCACTGCTCCGCCGCTCGAGGAAAATCGAGCTTGTTGGCGTGCGAGTGGACGAGCGGGCAGGTCTTGACCTGTTCCTGATTGTGGTTGCCAAAGTCACTACGTCTTGTACAGCCCAACGCTGCCGATCTTTGTTAGAGTGGAGGAACAAATTTTATCTTGTGTTTATTAAGTGAAGCCTGATATCGTTTCGTTGTATGCAGGGCGAAAGTCTAAAAGGCATTGATGCTTGCGTTGTCTGAGTTTGAGCTTGCGAGTGAATGGCGAGCAGCAATCGTGATTGGCTGGCAAGAAGTATACCGCTTCAGCTGCGACAAGTGGATATTATATGAATGACTGAGCTCTGGAAAGTTTTTGCTGAAGATTCTGCTTGAGGGTGTGTGGATGCGACGGACGGGGTGTTGTGTCTTGAGTTGAGGCACGCTGATTGCGGCTGCCTTGCTTGCCAGTGGTGCAGGTTTGATGCGAGGAGCTTGGAGCAATCTGTTCGAGGCTGACACGGAGACTTATATGCGGTGGCGCGACATTGCCACAACGTTGGCGTTGGAAGTGTTCGTGGTCGTCCTCTGCTAGAGCTCTAACAACCTGCTTTTCTGCGGTCCACGAGCAAGCCAGAGGGTCAGCTTGTGTCTGCGACATGTGATCCATATGCCACCCGCCTGACCACATCAGCGGAGCGCGCTGGCTGTTCCCGCAGAATGCTGCACAAATGTATACAAGAGGCGCCATCTGCAATTCGCTGCGCTTTTCAGGATCATGGTCAGCAAGAATCTATGCAGTCCCTCGGGACGAAGTGAGCCATGTCGTGGCATCGTGTCGCCCGGCCGTTCTCTCTCATCGCAGAAGGCTGCGCGTTCGTGTGATGGGGAGAGACTCCCGGTCATATCGACTCTGGTCATCCTGCAACAAGACGGATGCAGATGCCGTTACAATAACAGCGATGGTGAAGAGGTTGTCATGGTGCAGTGGAGGAGGTTGTCCACGCTGCGGCAGTAGCCGTAATACCTGATTTCCCAGCTTGCCAATCTCATCCACTGTACGCAAAGAAGACACCGAAATCCTCACATTTCGCCGCGTGTGTCGACATCGACCAGTATCGCGCATCTCGTCGCGAGCTCAGCTATAGCCGTCGTCGCCGTGCTGCCGCCTTCGCCGCCGCCTTCATTCGCCAGCGCAGCGCGTGTCATTCCCGGGACGGACTGCTAGCGACTCGCGACATGTGGAACAGGAGCCATAGTGAATGCTGCATGGAGAAAGAGACTGGACAAGCCGCCTTGAAGCACCGCTGAGTCAACATATACATTGACACAGGTTGAGACCTTGACAAGTGTGGCCGGCCACGATGCAGGGCCACTACATGTCTTCCCACTGTTGCAGTCGCCAGGCTCTTTGAGACATCTTTCGTTCAGCTGTCGGGACGACCTTCCACCGGAAAGCAAAACAGAAACTAGAATGAACATTGCGAATTCCTCCGCCCAGAGAACTCGAGTGCCCTTTCGACCCTTGTCTCTCTGCCTTGTATGGCGTAGCTAAGGCGCTCTATCTCGACAAGCGACGTAATCGTGGATCAAGTTCGCGAGAGAGATCGCGACTTGTGCATGTCTTGAGTTTCCATTTTGCTGTCCGCAATTAGGATGACTTCGTGGAGAGGTCGAAAGCGTTGGAGTATGACACGAGAGGCCGTCCATCGCTGCAGTACTTTGCTTGCGACTGCGCGTTTCTTCGACCTCGCACACATTCGTTGCTTCTACCCACGCTTGGAGTCAAGACACTTGGTCCTGACGCGCTGTTGGCCTTTGCGTCAGATACAGAGTGAGACCACCTGCATAGTCATCACTTTAATGAATCGGAGGTTCATTGTCCCACGGGCGGTCCAGTGTTGTGGTTATTCACGAATCATGTGCGCTCGAAGCAGGCCCTGTCCTGCGGAAAAGCTACCGTACTAATCTTGGACATCATTTAGCGGAGCACAGAGATCTGACCTCCGGATTAAATACAATCTACGTCCGTCGAAGTGTTTGTGGCTGCGGGCCAATATCAAGCCGCCGGTGCAGTATCAGTAATCTTAAGAATAGAGTTCAGGTATACAAATAGCTTCGTTCCGCTCTTTGAGAAACCAGAATCAAATCGGATGAACATCAGAACTCTCCTTACAAGAACAAACGCACTTCCACGGCGCACCATGGCTGATACACGCAAGAATGTCCTAGTTGCAGGCATGGGCCACTTTGTCTCTGCAGATTGGGAGCAGCAAGGCAAAAATGGACAACAGAATACCAACAGGCAGACTGTGGTTGATGTAATATTGCCTCGCCTTCACCCTGCACAAAGATCTGACGTTTCACAGGAGATGGAAAGAGCGAAAGCGGAAGGCTACGATTACTCTCTCGTGGATGTGAACCCGGAAGACCCAGAAGACACACTTCGACGGATTAAGGAGGTATTGCAGAAACGACATTGTGATATCTTCATGATAGGCTTCGCGGTTAGAGGCAATCCGGTACGTTAAGCGAACCACCATTGATTGATTTGAGCGTTCAACCTGACCCCGCTACTAGAAATTCACATCAATGTTCGAACAACTTGTGAACACCAGTGTCGAGGTGTCGCCCAAAACCAAATTTGGCTTCTTTCCTAAGCCGGACGAGGTGTATTCAACGCTTGTGAGGATATCGTCGTAGAACGGTTCAAAAAGGCTATGGAGCATACCGGTTGCTGGGAGATCATCAAGTGTTTGATGTTGTTCAGGCAAAGGGATGTGCTGGTTATACTCTGCCAAGACGCCATGTGCGTGGGTGGGGCAGCCGCCCTGCAGCTTGCGTCAGGCAGCTCTCTACGCGGTGAGAGGCAGCCACTTTATCTTTTGTACACAACAAACACGTCTTCCTCCCAAGCAACCTCCTTTTTCTCCTTCGCACTCCTTCGTCATGTCAATCACGCCCGAAGCTATCTGGGCTGCTTCGCCTAGCACCACCCGCGGCCAACCCACACCTCTCTCCGCCGACAGCAAGGGCGAGCGAATAGCTTATGCTTCCAACAAGTCCATCTTTGTCCGGTCCATTGACAACCCAGAAATCGCGAAACAATACACCGGTCATACAACAACCACCTCCGTTGCCCGATTCTCTCCTTCAGGCTTCTACATTGCCTCTGGTGACATTTCAGGATCCGTCCGTGTTTGGGATAGTGTTGGAGCTGAGACCACGAAGGGCGAATACCACATCATCGCAGGCCGCATAAACGATATTGCTTGGGATGGTGATAGTCAGCGGATAATTGCAGTCGGAGATGGCAAAGAGAGATTCGGGCACTGCATTACAGCAGACTCTGGGAACAGCGTGGGAGAGATCAGTGGTCACAGCCAGCAGATCAACTGTGTCGATGTGCGGAAACAGAGGCCACTCCGGGCTGCAACAGGGAGTGACGATATGAGCATGTGCTTTTTCCACGGAGCGCCCTTCAAGTTCAACACAAGTGTGAGAGGGAAGCATGACAAGTTCGTGTATGCGACGCAGTTCTCTCCGGATGGCAGCAGCTTGGTCACAGTGGGAAGCGACAAACGGATATGGATATACGATGGCAAGACGGGAGAAGCGGTGAAGCAGATTGGTGAGGGTGAAGACGGACACAAGGGCTCAATTTTCGGTGTGAGCTGGAGCCCTGATGGCAAGAAGGTGGTCACAGTATCCGGTGACCAGACTGTCAAGATCTGGGAGGTCGACAGCGGGAAGCTTGTGCAGAGTTGGAGATTGGGCGAAGAGGGCAAAGTCAGTGTGCAGGATCAACAAGTTGGCGTGGTCTGGCCGCAAGGGCGAAGCGATGGTCTGATCATATCTCTGGACCTTGAAGGCAACTTGAACTACTTCAAAGAAGGTACTGACAAGCCTGTGAAGGTTGTCAGAGGACATCAAAGAGCCATCACAGCGGCGACGGCACCAAGTGATGGCAAGACTTTATGGACAGGATCCGCAGAAGGACGGCTCCGCACATGGGACATCTCGACTGGCTCCGCGGACCTTGTTGACGGCGAAAGTCATTCGAACTACATTTCAAGCGTAGCCTGCCTACCGAGCACTGGAAGTGATGACTCGCGCATATTTTCAGTGGGCTGGGACGACAGTTTGCGGACTGTTGATGCTGCTCAGAAGTCCTTTCTGGGGTCGGCGGTCAAGACAGAAGGGCAGCCAAAGTCGGCAACTGTCGCCATCATTGCTGGAAAGCCGCACACTCTCGTTGCCACTACAGCGGGCATCACTTCATATCACAATGGTGAGAGTGCAGGCGCTTTCCAGACTCCTGCGCCGGTGACAACTGTCGCCGCAGCTGGCAGCGTCGTAGCCGCTGGATCTGACGACAAGCTTGTTCGCATCTTCAATGCATCTTCGGCCTCGTCTTTCTCTGAAGTAACAACACTCAAGGAAGCGACGTCACCGATCTCAGCGTTATCATTCTCGCCCGATGGTAGCCATCTCGCTGTTGGGTTGACCAATGGAAAGATCTTTGCATACTCGAACGCCTCTGGGAGCTGGACTCTCGAGACGAACCGCTGGTCGGCACATACTGCACGTGTGACTTCTCTGGCATGGAGCCCAGCTAACAAGCACGTTGTCTCGGGAGCGCTCGACACGAACGTCTTCGTCTGGTCACTGGCTGATCCAGGCAAACGAGTGAAGGCGAATAATGCGCACAAGGAAGGCGTTGGCGCTGTTGCGTGGATAACAGATGACAAAGTCATCTCGATGGGAGCTGATGCTGCTGTAAAGGTATGGAAGGTTGCAGGCGTGCCGTAGGCGCATCCTTTTTGCTGCAAGCACGATAGATAGACGGCAGAAGGAAAAGCACCAATACATTGGCGAAGATGTGTGATCATCGTCAAAGTTAGATCGGATAGAAAACGGTCGTCACGACCATGTGTCTATATGCTCATCTTTCACGCCTCGTCTGAATACGATGGCGGCTCATTTTCATCCTCCGCGTGCCGCAAAGGCTGTGTTTCCTGCTCTCTTCTCTCTAATCGGATACTCCACAAAGCACACCCTGCTGCTGTCGTGAGCAAGAAGAACATCGCCAGCACAGGGATCAGCTGCAGCGTGATATGCACTGCGCCAAACCACATGTACTCGAACTTGTGCCCCTTGTTCTGAATAAATTGCTTGCGCTCCTTCCTTGAGAACTCCTTAAGTTGGAAATACCGCCATTGCATGAGTGGCCCAGCCCGGTACCCGGTGAGGATGAGAAAGAGCGGAACTCCCACAAACGGCACGAAGTTGAGCGGCAGAAGAATTACAAGCTCGATGATTTGTCGAAATGAAAAGGGATAGAAAGCCGCGCCCTTGTCTCTCGGTCCAAGTCTCTCATAAGGATCACTCTCCTCGAAGTTCTCGGACACTGCTCTCCGCTTCTTGACGAGATCCTCATATCCTTCGCCAACCATAACCGCGTCGAAGACGTCTACTTGGGTATGATCTACCAGCATACCTTCGAAGAGAAGTTGGATTACGACTGCTCCGATTCCAAGGATAAAGAATGTGGCGTTCACCCAGGCGGATCCATGGTAGTGGAATAGGGCCAGGAAGCCTACGATAGGGAGGTAGGCTGTCAAGAATAGAATTGCCAGAACGCAGGTGGAGAGGAGGGTCAGTGGGACCAGGCGACTTTGGAGGAGAGGCCAGAGGTAGCGGTGAGTGCTGAAGTACCAGATTCCTTTGAGAGGATAGAGGAAGGCTGGAGAGAAGTTGGAGTGGATAAATTGGCGGACTGGCTGTTGTGTTGGAGACATGGTTGCTGTAATTCTTGTTGGCTTAAGGGATAGTGTTGCTGGCGGCAGACGGCGGATTCGGTGCGCGAGTGCACCGGTGAGGTTTGGCTTGTTCTTAGCACTTCTGTTCGTCTGGAGTCATGTATACTTGTCTGATCTTCGAAGTGAACAACATGGTTGCCTGCGCTTGTGAACATGTGAAGCTGGCTGCAAGGTGACGTATGCCAAGGCTATGCTCGTGCTCGCCTTCGAAGCTTCATCTTCACGCGCCACGAGATCTGCAAATGGCTTCAATCCCAAACTTGAATACACTGCGGACTGGCAGACGAGGCAACCGACTTCGAGGACGACGCGGAGGACCGTCAAGCTCCGGTACAGACGATGGATCGATACGGAGTGACGAGCAAGCGGAACAGGCTCGCGACAGAATCATCCAGCAAACGGACGGCGATGCCAGCAGCAGTCGGATGAGCGCTGTCAATCTGGGCTATCTTGAAGACTCATACGCGACGCGGCTCTATCAGCTGGGCGATGAAGTACCGAGAAGGTATCCGATCATAAATCGGGGCACTTACGTCCGAACGAAAGCCATCGACAGGCTCGTAACACAGTTCCTGGAGACGCATCCCGATCAACGAAAACAGATTATCTCTCTCGGTGCCGGATCCGACACTCGTTATTTCAGGCTATGTGCTGGGAAGCGCAACGTTGTGTATCATGAGCTCGACTTTGAGGAGAATGTGAATCTCAAGAGAAACGCGATCAGAAATGACAGCGAGCTGGCGCGCATGGCACTGCCTCAAGAACAAGGCTCGGCGTACCACTTGCATGCGATAGACCTCAGAGTTCTGACGAACAAGTCTCCTCCTATCATACCAGGTCTGGAAGCGGATCTGCCGACTTTGATTCTCAGCGAATGCTGTCTCTGCTACTTTCCACCTGATCTGGCTATTAGTGTTGTGCACTACTTTACTATGAACATCAAAGCAAGCTGCGGCCTAGTTCTCTACGAGCCGATTCGACCCTTTGATGCTTTTGGTCGGACCATGATGTCAAATCTGGCCTCCAGGGGAATTGAGATGCGCACTTTGAAGAAGTACTACTCGCTGGATGCACAACGGCAGCGGCTGAGGGTTGCTGGATTTGAGAGCGGCCAGGGCGCGAGAGATGTGCATCAAATTTGGGAACAGGACGAGTGGATCAGCGATGCAGAACGACAGCGTATCGACAAGCTGGAATGGCTAGACGAGGTCGAAGAGTGGAAATTATTGGCTAGTCATTATTGCGTTGCTTGGGGTTGGAGGGGCGACAGTTTCACTGCTGCGTGGGCTGAAGTACATGGCAATCGAACTCAAGCCGAGGGTTTGGACGATGACATGATGTGATTGAGGGATGCTTCTTTTGCAACCGCGTCGAAGCAACATGACTGTATCGCTAGCAGGCGGCAAGACGGGAGCAATCTGTGCAGAGATTCTTGTGCTTCAAGCGCTGGCCGCTCAGGACCTTACCAAACACCGCGTGAACCGGCTACACATACGCTTCCGGTCCTCTCGAAAGTCTCCGCTATAGGACGCGCAAGCGTACATTCAAGCCTGAATGCCTGGGAACGAATGACCGTGGCCAAGAACAGCGCAGCGCATGCAATCGGAAATAGGTACTTTCCAACTCTCCCCCGGCATTCTTCTGTTTTGTTGTTGTACAGTTCATCAATTACGACCAATCTTATTATTGTTTTTGAAAACAATCACCATCGACATCTTTAGTGAACAACAGCACTCAGCATGGCACCCGTTGTCTGCGGTCTCGACCTTAAGGAAGTCCAATGGAGCAAATTCAAGTGCTCCAGCATGTAGAGCAACGAGTACTACCTTCGCCGAACGAAGTTCGTTGTATATTAGTGCGCTATAATCCTCTGTATAGTCTCCGAATCACTCGGAATAGCCGCCCTTTTAGGTATAATACCTCGCTCCTCTAACATATCTAGTAATCCCTAGCTAACGTATCTTTTAGACTACGTTAATAGCTAGAAACTCGTAGCAAGACTTAATCCGCAAGTTTATAGCTTTAACAACGACTATATCGGAGCTGCATCCTTCAATATCTTCTCCGGGATCTTGGTCGCGGCGATCTTCGGCTCGGCCTTCTTCCTAGACCTTTTGAATATAACCCCAAACCCACTGCCGTGGCATGTCTCCGCCAGGAAGTGAAGGAGGTAGGTCGTAGGGCGGAAGACGGAGTCGCTTGCCCTACGTAAGCAATGTCAGTATGTCAGTCAAAACCACACCACACAGCGGCCGCGCCGCTGTGAAAAAACATCGCGACATGGAAAGCGCGTCGTCGTCGCCTCCGGCTACTGCCGCCGCCGGCAGTGCCGCCCGCAAGTACAGGAAAGGGTACGAGAAGAGAAGGCGCCGCATGCTATAGTCAAAGTCGTAGTGTGTGTGTTGCATGTCTATGGAAACTGGTCCTCAAAACCACCATATCTATTACTCGACTGACTCGTATCTCGTTTTAGAACGCCTCGCTCCATGCCCTCAAATCAAGCTCTCGTAGTAGTGGCCGTCGCCAAAACTCGTCTTGAAGAGAGTGCATCAGCCCAGTATGCACAGCACCAATCCGTCATCAGGGTCCACCAAGTGAAACTTCACAAGAACCATAACCCTGCCTTCACTTTCTCTCAGTGTCTCAACGGCTGCAACAGATGTCTGCGAATCGATCGAGCGACTCCTCTAATTGGTCACGTCCTGTTCTACATCTGCCTACGAACCACAGTTCGTTATTTCTACCCACTTGCAGGATTTCAGACAGCTGGGGTACAGCATACACGAAGTCTCTTGTAGGTTTGATGACGAAATCAGCATCGTTTGATCCCTCAAAACTGTTCATCTCGGCTTCTTGAAGGCCGTTATGAGTTTCATCTGTCTATTGACTGCTCTCGAGAACTATAGGAAGGCCTTATAACATTCGCAGAAGTATATATCGTCACAATCTTCCGAAGCAGAACGCCGTCAACGCCACATCGATACCATCAAGAGCAGCAACACGATGCAACTAACGCTCGCTACCTCGCTCCTCGCGCTCAGCGCCTTTGCTCTCGCAGAAGCCGATGGCCCACAACATGGCCCTCCACCACCTCAGGGCGCCGCGGCAATCGAATCCGCCGTAACCAGTCTGGCCTCACAAACGAACTTGCCAGCTGATATCACCTCTCTCGCTCCTGCTCTTAGCTCTGCTGGTATCACTGGTGTTGTCATCTCTGGAAGTGCGGAACCTACTGGCACTAGTGGAAGCGATTCTTATGGCAACGAAGGTCAATCTGGAGGACAAGGTCAATCTGGAAGTGAAGGAGAGTCGGGCAACAGTGGCGACAGCAATGAGAATAACAACAACAACGATGATGATGACAATAACGGAGATCGCAATGGGGCTTCGGTTCCTGTACCGCAGGTTGTTGTTGCTGGTGGTGCTGCGGGGTTGGGTATGGCTGTGTTGGCTTTCCTTTAGTTGTGCTGCGGTTGTCCTTGGAGGTTGTGTGCTGTATGGAGTTGTCGGAGCGTAGTGCCATGTGATAATTGCTATTGCTTCACAAATCGGTCTCTGCGTCGATGGAGCTGCAAATACACTCGACTGGAGTGAGGTAAAATCGCGGCTTCGTGCGACTGAGGTTTCTGGAGGTTTATTGTACTATTAGAAAGATACCACCCGTGTGGCGCAAATGGTAATCCCGTAAATATACACGTCTCTCTTGGGAGTACTGGCTATCAAGACCTGAGCCGTGAACAGGCGCTAAAGATGCATAGTTGATTGGCCAGCTTCTGCTGTGCCGCCTACGCCGCGAACACTAGGCTGACATATTAGGACGACCTCCGAAAACCTCATGTTTCGAACAGATACTCGTCTCATCTCCTAGAATGTCAAATCCCTACATGATCAATCCGGCCAGCCCACATACAGAGACACTGGTCGTACTGGACTTCAACTGCGAGCTTGATCTGGAAAATTATCCCGCCTGGAATAAGACACTGCAACAATTTTTTGAACATGGCGCTTGTCAGGGTCTAATGTGGTCGAAAGTGATCGATAGACCACTCCAAGCCGTGATGCATATCTGTAAGCCTGACGATGGTCTCTGATATGCAGTGAAAGAAAACTTGTTGACAACACGCAGCCTGGCACCTTGACACAGACCCAGCACGAACAGAGCTCACAAACGGGACCTGGATAGAATTGGCACCTTTCCTCCAGGACATGCCTCGATCGCAAGACATCAAACTGGGTATCAGGTACTTCTTCACCACGCCCAGTCTTTTCCATGAGCTTGTTCTGATCACGGGTGACCCTGACCTCGTTACACCTGAATGCCTCCAGAGTGTGGACTGGCTGCTCGAGCGAACTATGCCTCAAATCAGTGGCACTCAATCTGAGTTTCTCCTCAGCTGCGTTCGTGGCATCACAGCTCCTGAAGATTCGGGGGCTACGAGAACGATCGCTACACTATGGGCTTGGCCTAGTCTGCAGCGTCGAGAACAGTTCATAGACCCGGAGCAGGACTCACTTGGAGGAGGCACACAGTACCATGATCTGTTTGGACTCACAATGCGCAGACTTGAGGGTTGTGGAGCGACGGTGACAAAGTACCTGCTTCACTTGCAGCAATGGAGGCCAAAGAAGAAACCAGAAAAGCGACAAAGAAAGTGCGTTGTGCTGTAGTTCTTCGGTCGCTGCCTGCGGTGCATCGCACGAGCCCGGGAGTTCCGTACACTGTCTGCTTACATGTCGCGATCACAGCGGGTAGTTCACGAGGCTGCTCCTTGCATGCGGCGTGCTCACGGGCTGTGGAACGCGCGCATACAGCTCTGATCGACCAAAGTACTCGCGTGAAGGCTTCTTTGGTCTCTCAGATTTCCAGAGGCTCTGAGCTGACTGGGTGGGCCTTGGGCGAAATTTTGCTCTAGAAGACAGTCCGAGACATCGCTGCCGTCCGTCGACAACTTTGGATCAGCAATCGCCAAAAGGTCTTCCTTGGTAGAAATCGATAGAAGGCTCTCAGGTAGCTAGCTTGGCCTAGAGCAAGGCTGTACCGCAGTGGATCGGTCGCAATACCACTCCCTGGGCCCGACGGCTCTGGGTCAAGGCTTGTAGTCATCCCGATATCCATGCACTACTTCCTCACAGCTACTCTCTTCCCTCTGCAACCCCTCCTTGCCAATTTCAAGCTTCCAGTTCGAATCAGGTATCTGACACTCCGGACTTCCTTGATTGGCGAGAACTGCACCAATATTCGCCTCTCGGTACGTTTTGTATATTTTCCGTGACTGCAGGTTCACAAAGAGAATTACGATGCCTCGTGTAGGGTATGGCTTGGTCGTGAACTCCCAATACCATGTGATGGTGTCGCAAGTGTTCGATGTGAAGATAGTGTTGACGCTCGGTACGGCAGGGACGGCGGCTTCCTGTTCGAGCATCTCTTGCAGATTGTGCGCGAGCGTGGTGTTCAGCTGGGATCTCGTGAGCTATGAACAGCAGCATTCGGGGAGAGCACTGAACATACTGGTTTCTGAAAGACGTAGCTCAGACTATCGGAAGTCGTGGTGACATTCTCATCAACCAGCTCTTCCAGCACCGTCCGATTACCTGAGTATTTTGTAAGGTACAGAGTGTATTTTTCGATGATCTGCGCCGTCTCGTCTCTCGTTAGGCAGGACTCATTGGTATTTCCACTGCTGCTTTCTGCGTGGACTGAAACGCCGCTTAGGACTAGCAGGAGCAGAAATACCAATTTGGAGATTCTCGTCGGGACTGCCATTCTTATTGTTGATTTTGATGGAGACGAATGGGAGAGAGAAAAGAGCCTTCAAGAAGAAGACCGCTGGAGACCCGGCCATGGTCGTCACAGGTATCGGAAGCGAAACGATCTTGCTTCAGGAGCAGAGCTCTCTTCTGATGTGTTTGGTGTCCTTATGCTGCATGTTGTGCAGCCACGGACTGCTTGAGCTGTCTCATCTTACCTTGCAGCTTATTGACATCATGGAGACACAACACAATAGCATGATGAACAGTGCTTTGCGTCTATTTCGTTTGATCGCCTTGGCAGCATGGCTGTCTCCAAGGATTTGCTGGTCTGAAGAGGAGGCGTGCAATCTTGGCTCCCTGTTATAATTGCGAGCAGCTAAGGGAAAGGGTCCAGTTGTGCAAGATGCTTCGAAGCAACGAGAAAATTTCGCAGTTGCCTGAAGGGAGGGAGTGCGTGGCAGCGATTGTGCAGCGGACTGTTTCAACACAAGAACAGCCCACGCTATCGCAATCAGCTCGCTGATGAACCCCAATAGTCATGTCGCTGCCGCATTTGCTTATTTGTCAGACTCAGGACCAGGTTTCAGGCGCGAGATGTTTGCGTGACAGAGTAAATCCGGGCTCAAGGGATAACAATACTGCACCGTTCCTGGCACGATGGTCCTGCCATATCTGCGGCGTTGGCGTTGAATGTACGAAAGTCCAACGAAGGCAAGGTCCTTGATGTGAAGATCAAGGAGGAAGTAATGGAGGCAAGCTGTGGACAGCAAAATGGAAACTGAGAAACACGTACACCTTGTCCTCTCTCCTCGCAACCTTGACTCTACGCCTACATCGCTACTCGAGACACAGTGCCTCAGCGACGTTGTGTCAGGCAGAGATTTGGGTGCCCAAGAGCAGTCAATGCGCCGAGCAGAGTGCGCAGAATTGGCCTTGATTTCTGTTCTGCTTTCTGGCGGGAGGTAGGGTCACGGTCGTCAGTGCGGACGGCGAGCGGGAGCGCCCGCTCGGATTCGGAAAGCCGCATATCTTGGCTCGTGCAAATTGGAATTTCGAGCTTGCGCTTTCTGTCGATTCGTCTTGCAAGTCAGCGAAGGTCATCACAGCCGGAGACACAATCATTCACAATGGCACCAAAGAAGAGCAGCAAGACCCACGACAGCATCAACGCTAAGTTGGCCCTGACTATCAAGGTGCGCATGCGCAGCCCGCACGATCGCTAGCACAGCACAATGGACTGACCTCTCGCACAGTCTGGTAAGGTCACACTTGGCTACAAGTCGACCCTCAAGTCGCTCCGCTCCGGCAAGGCCAAGCTCGTCATCATCGCTGGCAACACCCCTCCTCTCCGCAAGTCCGAACTCGAGTGTACGTCGCGACCTTCAGAGGGCAAGAGAATGGTGAAAGAGAACAGGACTGACGGGATATACAGACTACAGCATGTTGGCCAAGACTGCCGTCCACCACTTTTCCGGCAACAACGTAAGTGCCACTTGAAAACGGATACCAACCTTTGCGCCTAGCGAAGGAGCCTCTATCAAGGCTCTGGAGGGTGCGCTCTCTTGAGCCCTGAGAAGAAGCTGCTTCAACAGGCGCTTTGGAGGGAAACGACTCGTACTAACCACCGTGCGTGATGTAGATTGAGCTCGGTACCGCCTGCGGTAAGCTCTTCCGCTGCTCGACCATGGCCATTCTCGATGCTGGAGACTCCGACATTCTGTCCACCACTCCTCAGTAGAGGGAGAGTCCGAGGAGGAAGTATGGTGCTACAGATAGATGCATGAGCAGGGAACTGCCAGCGACACCATTTCTGAGACGCGGCAAACAGTGCTCGTTCGGATGACGACCTCGGATGAGGAAAACTCCGCATTCTGGTGGCCGTATGCCCGTGTCTTCTGCGCAGGCACATTTCTTCAAATAGCCTGCAGATTCCCACCAATGCAAATGCATCTTCTGTGCCAGAAAATCGCTCATCGTGACTCACTGCTCCTTTCGTCGTATTCAGACCTTGATTTCTAAGGCATAGTCTCACATCCTCAGACCACCGGCCCAAAGTTGCTCCGATGCGGCGGCGGCCTGAGCGGCTGAGTTTGCCACACTCTCCGTCAATTTGTAAGCCGAGTGCGTGCGGCTTGGCAAACGGCCCTCGCTGAACCTCGTCGTCAGTCGTCCTCTCCTCCTCACACACCACACCCAACGACACACCCACCGCAATACCGTCGCAATGGCCCGTCGTCCAGCTCGCTGCTACCGCTACTGCAAGAACAAGCCGTACCCAAAGTCGCGCTTCAACCGTGGTGTGCCAGACCCAAAGATTCGAATCTTCGACCTTGGCCGCAAGCGTGCAAACGTCGACGATTTCCCAACCTGCGTCCACCTCGTCTCCAACGAGTATGAACAGCTGAGCTCCGAGGCTCTCGAAGCCGCCCGTATTTGCGCCAACAAGTGAGCCACTCCGAGGGAAGAGAAGGTCAGAGAGAGATGCAGGACACTGACGGAATATCGCTACAGGTACATGGTCAAGACCGCCGGAAAGGAAGGTTTCCACCTCCGTGTCCGTGCCCACCCATACCACGTCGTCCGCATCAACAAGATGTTGTCGTGCGCCGGAGCCGATAGACTCCAAACTGGAATGCGTGGTGCTTTCGGAAAGCCAAACGGCACCGTCGCCCGTGTCAACATCGGCCAGATTCTCCTCTCGATCCGCACTCGTGACTCTCGTAAGTCAAACGCTGCACACTGCTCTCGTCGACCCGTACTAACATCCCCAAGACCGCCCAACCGCCATCGAGGCCCTCCGCCGCTCGCAGTACAAGTTCCCAGGTCGCCAAAAGATCATCGTCTCCAAGAAGTGGGGTTTCACTCCTCTCGACCGCGCCGAGTACATCGAGAAGCGCAAGGCTGGTGCCATCCGTGTCGACGGTGCTTACGTCCAGTTCCTCAGCAACCACGGCCCAATCGAGTACAACATGCGCCGATTCCCAGACGCTTTCCAGCAAGAGGCATAGATGGATGTTTCCTGGAGGGTTTTTGGGCTTGACGTGAGGCATAGATGATGAAATAGACATGATGAAAAGGCCATCCTACGGGACAGGCCTAAAAGGGCATCCCGCGGCAGGAGTTTTAGTGCCGGGAATGGATGCACTTGGGTTTTTATGAACAGTCTACATCATGCCGAATGGAATCGAGTTGTGAAAGAGCAGATTGTGCCCACGTCATTTTGGATTGATCAGCTGCATGGCAGGTTTGATTGATACCCGTCTCTACAAGTCTTGTGCTGACATTTGACTTCCGTGTCTGTTGGGCCATCGCCTGACGCTTGCCAGTCCTCCAAGTGGTGCCGAATATTGTAGTGCTATTGTTATTTGGAAGCGGGCTGGTTCTTCTACGAGAGAGCAGAGTCAGCTGGTGTGATGGTAGTTCAGACTCTCCCGATTTGACAGAAGACCCTCACCTCGACCTCGCCATACAGCGGCACTTCAATGCGATTGCGCTAATGTAGCAGCAGCAGCAGCACCTTCTCTCATCCCAGGCATTTGGCGTTCAGATATTGTCCCGGCATTCAGGACCGCGCCGATGTCGTCCTCGCACGATATTCGTGCACCGGTGCTTGAAGTCTCTGTTCGTGGGTGAGGACGTCGTCTCGCCGTGGCCATGTGCGTGGGTCGGCGCTTTGTAAGTCGACATTTTCGATGTGCACAGGCTCTTCGTGTCGGACAGTTTGGGCGTCAGTGCGCTTCGCGTACCAGACCCACGTGAGCCAGTAGATGAAGAGACAAAGTGTGCCGATGAGTGCGAGGCAGATCACGATGATGGCGATGCTGTTCATGGCTGGGTCGTTGATGTGGTGGTGGGTTGGAATGCAATGTTGAGGTTGTGGCTTGTGGTTTGTCGTCTGCGAGAGTTGCAAGTGGCAGGTGCGCAATATGTGAAGTGAAGCAAACGACCGTCGGCTGTCACGTTGGAACTGTTTGTTCTACGAAGTTCTTGACTCTAAAGATCAACTATGCTGGAGCTTTCTGGATATTTGTGATAGAGACATGCTAACGTTCATCAGATTTGTAGGACGTTCATATCGCTGCGGAGAATGTAAAGATGTAGCCGAGCCATCCTGCTATATAACTGAGAAGCGGTTAGCCCAGCTTAGCTTTGGTAAAAAGGCGCAGATGGAAATATGCTCGAAGACGTTGCCGTCATTTCTGGTGTGTTGAACTATTGCGAATGGCGTTGATGGAGCCGTACATTGAGCATCGTTATCTGGAGCTGGATGTGCAATTAGTCTTCTGGTGGTCCTCGGAATTTTGTTGGAGCCTCAACAGTGCTCTGGTCTTGATGGCGGACTCCGTACTGCCTGCAGCAATCCGAGAGATCAGAACGAGAGCAATAGGCCGATATGCTTGTGATAATGTTTGCTTAAAACAATAATAATCAAGCTCGCTATATGGATTGCCTTCGTTTTCAAGTTCTGGTTGCAGTGGGGCCCATCTCCGAGGGCAGGACGAGGCTGAGCTCTCTCGTGTGGCGCTTTGCGATGTTCCATTTGTTGTCAATTTGTGCTGTCTCCTTCCACACCCTTCAGATTTTCTCCACCTGCTCTGCTTGCATTGCGCCCTTTTCAGTCGATTCAAGATAGACAGGAACATCCTCTGGCAGCATCTTCGCCACTTTGACCGGTTGTAAAGGATTCGTTGAGCGAACGAAGAACGCATCGATGTCCTCCAACGATCCGTTTCTGGTCTCCGGTAAGAACAGGTAGAAGACAGCCACTGAGAGCAAATTCGTGCAAACATAAACCAGGTAGTACTTCCATTGAATAGAGTCGAACGCGATAGGCGTCACTTCGGCCACCATGAAGTTGAAAAGCCAATTGCTGCACCCAGACATTGCGGTCACCTTTGCCCTGATGCGGAGAGGTGCGATCTCGCTGCTGTACATGAACGGGATGAGGAACATGCCAATTGGGAAAGCTGCGAGAGCCAGGAAATAGAACAAGAGACTGCAGCCTGCGGCGGTTCTGTTTGTGGGGTCCGACTGGAGTCCTGCGAGCCCAGCGTTCGCGACGCACATGAGGAATGCTCCGGTGATGAGCAGCTTACGTCTTCCAAAGCGATCGATCAGAAACACGGCTGAGGTTGCCATGAGGAATTGCCAAGTTTGCAAGCAGCTTGAAATGATTCGAGAGAGTACTGCGCTATACCCGAGTCGCTGTTGGAGGATTGTGTTGGAATAGAACGTAATTACGTTGACTCCAGAAAGCTGAGCGAGGACATTGACTCCGATGGCAATAATAGTGCGATTGAGATGCCGATTCTTGGTTCTCGCGAAAGGGCTGCTTGAATGTCCTTGACTCTCTACTTCCAAGGATTGTCGGATGGAGAGTAATTGTTCGGCCACGAAGGCAGAGTCCTCGGATTCGTCTTCGAGCTTCGCCAGGACCAGTCTTGCCTCTTCGAATCGATCTTTGCCCGCTAGCCACCGTGGTGATTCTTCAAGCATGGGCACCATGATCATCACGGTAATGGGAAAGAATGCCTGGAAAGCGATCGGAAACCGGAAACTCGCACTTGATTGACGAGCAAAGTAGAGCCCAAACTCAAGCCAGCCGACGAACATGACTCCAAAGATGGCTGCAGAGCCTTCGAGCATGATGAGACCTCCACGCTGATGAGCATCTGAGCTTTCTCCCACCCAGGTGGGTACTGTGGCCGTGAAAGACCCGACTCCAAGACCTGTGATGATGCGAGCCACGATGAGTTGTGCGAGTGAGTAGGCCGTAGATTGCAGGATGACACCAATGAGCACGACGACCGCTCCGCCGAAGGTCGTCCATTTTCTTCCATACTTCTCTCCGAAGAAGAAGCAGGCTAATGCACCAAACGCGGCGCCAACTTCGTAAAGTGCCACGGCAGTGCCTCACAGATGTTAGTACAAACTCAGTGCTAGTCGTGGAAGTTCAAGTACCTTGAAGCGTAGAATGCTGACTCTTCAGCGCAGATGTACTTGTATCAATCTCCGGAAACTGCTTAACAAAAGTGGGAAGAGTCAAGAGACCATTCATCAACGCCTGATCGTAGCCTTGGAGGATCCAGGCTGCCGCGCCCGTGAGTGCCAGTGCTATCCGCAGTCTTTTGCCTCGCAACTTCAAACCGGCCATGCTGCGGATTGTCAATGTGGTCAGAGCGCGATGAACGAAATGTCAAGATGTAGACTACACAACGGGCAAGCAAGTGATTAAGGGAGACGACGCAGACGCCAGGAATGGAATGCAGTGAGAACGAAACAATGGAGGTGAGCGTGGAGGATGTGGAGAATAGCATATGCCTGTGTCCACATGATACTCGCATTGTAGCATCAGCGACTAGACTTTGTCGTGGGGATGGATATCGGCACCAAGGTCTCCGCAAGTCGTCATTGGCCTTTTGAGTGTTGATGCGCTATCTTAGATCGTTGCAGAAGTGGTATGCCGCGTGTCAACGGCATCTGGCTGATGACGAACGCCGGTGAAGTGGTGACTTCGGGCAGAATCTTCGAATAATCGCTCAGCCATCGTATGAATGAGTTGTTGGTGCCACGGGGTGCTTTGGTACAGGGTCATTCGGACACTAGTAGCTATCGGTAGAGACATCAGTAATGCTTTACGGCCAAAAGCTCGTGGAGGTACGTTGGGGCGGATGTAACGGCACGGAATCGCATGAAAAGTGGCATGGATATGAAGATGCTTAGCCATGAATAAGCCTCACCAAGCTCCGTAGTGGAGCCCTCGGCGTTTGCAGGAGGACTCCAAAAGCCGTCTGTCAGCAGCGTGCGGCAGCCAATTTTTCTTGCTGAACATGACGCTTTCTCGCGGTTATTCTTTACCGCAGGCAGACCCGTTGCCAACCTTGCGAGCTGTGCAGTTTCCGTTCCTTCGGAGAAAGTTAGAACCTATTCATCGCTGCTTTGTCCAGCTGTGCCAGTCATTGAAGACATTCCCATGGATCTTCGACTTCGCGTCCTTGCGCCATTCGTCTAGCAAGTCGAGATACATTGACCCGATCTTCTTGAATGCGTGATCCGGATCCAGCCCCACGAGCACTTTCGCCAGGAATTGACTGCCACGGCTGCACGCAGAGGCGTGGATCTTGCTGCCACCTAAACGCATTTCATCGTGTACGTTGCTGAGGATCTTGAAAAGTTCCTCAGTATCGTCGATTTCCGGCAGTACCTTCTGCTTCTTGCTTCTGTCGAAATATGTCTCCAGAACATCTAGTGCCTTCTGCGCTGTCGGCTGGCTTGTGGTAGTGCGAGCCAGAGTGATCAGAGGCAGTATCAAATCCACAGCAAGAGGGTTCGCGTACTGTGACTTGACATAGATCGCAAGCAGGTCCAGAACACGGTTCTTCAAGTTGACAACATCTTCCTTGGCATCCTTGTTCTCTTGCTTGTTGTTCGTGCGTTTGCTGCGCTCCTTGAAGATGGTCTCCAGATGTGGTGTTATCGCCATCATTTCGTCATCGTCCATGTCAGAGCCATCATCGTCCGATTCGTCTTCCATGCCAGCTGTGCCAAGCGCATCGGCCAGCTTGCGATCGAATTCTGCTTCTTCATCTTCTCCTGCGCCACCTTCAGCATCACTCTCCGAGCTACTGGATTCCGAATCCGATGTCTCATCATTTTCGTCCGCGGCTCCAGAGACTTCTCCACCCACGATCTCCACATCTGATGCATCCTCGACGTCTTCCATGTCTATGTCCTCGTCGGCCTCCTCGTCGTCCTCTTCTTCCTCATCCTCCTCTCCCTCTTTGAAGAGCTCACGCTTGCCGGCCAGAGTCTCCTTCGGTTCCAGCACGCTGATCATGGACTGCAGACCATCCGCAGTGACCTCGGAGGCAAAAGCAGCGAAGACCTGTTCGGCTAGCTTGCGGAAGAGGGCTGACGGCTTGGCCACAAAGCTGAGCAGCAACTCAATGAGCAGTAACGAGGAGTCTTCGCTCTTCGCGCTGGTGAAGTGGCTGGTAATGTCCTTGAGCACTTCTGCACCATCTGGTTCCTGTTTGTAGACCTGAAGAATTCCAAGTGATAAGAGCAATTGCGAAGCTTTCGCGACAACTGCTTTGCTACCCTTTTTGCTCTCGGCTTTCGTTGCTGCTTTCGCTAGCGCCTTCTGAGCTTCTCGGACAGCTGTCAATGCGTCGCTCTCTAACTCCACCCCCAGCGAGGTGCCAATGGCCTCCAGTCTGTCCACTACTACAAGAGGTGCGACCACGGCCTGGTCGAGAGGGAGATTCACCATATGGCCGAGTGCCGAGATGAGGCGATCTTGGAACACAATACGGGTGGCACTGCTGAGTGGCGTAGAGAGTTGTTCCGCCAGGAAGCTCAGGTCGGTCATGTTGCGGAGTGCCATCTTCAGCCACTGTGCTGGCTTATCACCTTTTTTGAAAAATTGCTCGGGTTGGCTCCTTCTCGATCGAATGATCGACAGCTGTGCATCTGCGAGTAGACGGCGCTTCTTTTCCACATCAGTCTGTTCAGCGGAAGCACGGCAAATGTCGTTGATGACTTTCACCACGTGAACCAAGCTCTCCGGATCCGCGGCCGCGAGGAGACTGTCGACAGTCTGGCGAGACAGCTTATCCAGGTTGGGCGGCATAACCTCAAGCAGCTTCGAGACCATTTCTGCAGCGGCCGCTGGATCCGTCTTCCCACGTGCTTCCATGGTCCTGAGTGGCACGGCAGAGGCAGCGAACAAAGTGCGATCCGACTTCGAGCGTTGATCAACTACACACCGGATTATACTCTGGTGCACGACGTCTCCCAAAAGTTCCGCAGGGGCAGCTTTGATGGCTTGACTGAAGATCTGAAGCCCGAGAGACTTCCTTTCGGCGGAAGAATTGGGAGAAAACATAGGCTTTGCCACACAATCTTCCCAGAATTGGGACAGGTCTTTGCCATCATCGTTCTGGTAGAGGTGCTGTAGAATGACGCTCCATGCGAGATTCGGCATAGATTGTCGGGCTCCAGACGCCTTGTTCTTCTTCTTGCCTTCACCGTTCTGCTGCGCCGGCTCATTATCCTTCACTTCCACTGCGTTTTTGAGTAGTATGCGCGTGAGCTCCCCCCGATCTTGTGATGAGAGCGGGTTCCTGTGATGCCAGACTTTCTTTGGGAGCTTGACGTTTTCAAAATTGTCCTTCGCTGTTAACCAGATAGCCACGCCTTCGGGCGACTTCAACAGGCCCTTCGAGTCCAAGGCGGTGATCAAAGGCAGGGCCAAATCCTCGTTAGCAGGTGTTCTCAAAAACTCCACCAGGATCAAGCCACATTCGCTCCGGATCCACTCCTTCTGAAGCGCCAGGTCGGACACAGCATCAAACACAGAGCTGACTTCGGCCCCTGAAGCACTGCGCAGAATGTCGCTGAGCAAGATTGCATGAAGTGCGTACATGCGACCGAGCAGGTAGTTCCTCTCCTCGCCTCCACGGTCGTTCGCAGGTGTCAAAGCTGAAATTTTGCTGAGGATCTCCTCGAATGACAAGAGGCTGCGCTTGCCGCCACGCGCAAATCTGAGCACTTCAGCGAGCGCAATGGAGAAGCCGAGTCGAGACGCTCGAGCACCGCTGCAAACGCCAATGACAAGGCGCGTTACCGCTCTGTCGACGCGACTCTTGAACTCACTCTCGTCGTCCGCAAGATGTTGGAGGAGCTCTTTCGTGGCTTCGATGCGCGCTTCGGGAAGTTCTTCGCCAAGCTTGCGCAGGATCCTGTTCAGTTCCTTCTGATCTGAGCTCTGCTCCTTGATGCCCATGCGCTGCTTGCGTGTGGGATGAACATTCTGCCCGCCTTCTTCGTCATCTTCGTGGGGGCGTTTGGTACCTGTCATGGCGTTGACCTTTGCATGTGGTTGTTTCCTTGAAAAAGTTCAAAGTGAAGGTCAGCAGTCTCCAAAAAGTTCAAGGCCACCGGAAGTGCGGGCCGAAGCCGTGGTCGAAACCTTAACTGTTCTCCAGCTTCTGCTTCTCTCTCCTCTCCTCTCATCCCATTGCACGTAGCGACCGCAAAGGATCACGTCACGTCCTGCTCTTTGCGAAAGTCGCTGACTTCCATTTAGGAGCGGCTCGGCGTGCAGGGTGAGGCCCATGGGATGAAGATTGCTCAGTCGAGAAGCAGCTGCTGGCACAATTCACGAGGAAGCCCTCACATTTTGCAACTGAGGCGCATTAGCTGACCACGAGATTGAGGGCTTGCCTCGAAAAAGCTGATAGATCTGGCAGTGTCGGCATGCGGTCTTCACTTCCAAGCGTTACTTTATCGTGGGTGTATCATGGTGCCATGCCGAATGCCCAGCCTACGGTTCAATCAGATCCCTAGACTGTAGGAGGCCACGCAATGGTACCCCGAACAGACACGTCGCTTAAAAACCACCTTCTCCATAGCGCTACGGTCGGTAGACGCTCGGCTTGAACTACAAGTTACACGCTTCAGTCGACCTATTCTGCCCGCCACCGTCCTTCTTCAATCTCGGAAATAGCTCCAGAGCATTTCGGAAATGGACCTGCTCTCTTAGCTCAGATGACACCTCGATAGTATTCCACTGCTTCAAGAAGGCCGGATATGCTGGTGGTCGGGCATATGGAAAGTCGCTCTGTCAGCTGAGATCAGTTTCTATGCATGGCGATTATCCTCCATGGTACGTGACACATGACTATACGTACTCCGTACAGAATCTTTTCATGCGGAACTCCGGTCTCGAGCAAAGTTTTCACTACTGCCGGGGCGGTCGAAAGCGCGAGATCGAAATGGAACGAGCGGAAGTCTTGCATGATCTGCTCATGTGTGAGACCAGTCGCAGCGTTACGAACAGTCGGATTAGCCACCGAGAGTGGTGTTGCGACGCGACTGATCAAGTACGGCAACGTCCCTCCTGCATGAGAGAGGATGACGCTGCAGTCGGGAAACTTGCGCCTCGTGCCGCTGAATAGCATGTCCATTGCTGTACGTGTTGTCTCGTGCGGGTAGTCCACAACAGGTTGGGGAAGCTGGACATTCACTTTTCCCGAGATCACGCGGGTGAGTAGGATGCACGAACACTACAGCCTTCCGACGATTTAGCTCTGCCCAGATGGGCTCCAGGGAAGGATGACCAAGGTATGTAGTACTGTTCCCGTAACGCGAGAATAGGCAGACTCCATCTGCTCGAAGGGTGTCGAAAGCATAGGCTATTTCAGCCAGGGCAGCTGCAGTGTCTTCAATATTCCCGAGAGATAGGAAGAAGCCGAACGCTTGAGGGTTGGAGTCCCGGATAGCCGCAGCTTCGACATTAAGGGCACGCGCCAGATCCCAAGACCGCTAAGGGAACATGATGCATTAGTAGGTCGTGGTGAGACGTGGGAAGGAGGCCTTACTTTGCCTTGAACAATACATGCTCCCGGAGTAGTAATTGAAAGGATCGAGGTTTTGAACCCAGCACGCCTCATTAATGCTTGGCTGGCTTCTAGCGACCATTGTGGAGTCGGCCATCCGCTTGGGTCGCCTGGCCATTTGCTTCGTCAGAATCGATGCTACGATAATTCGGATGTTGCTCACCTCCTGCAGCAGCGACAGCTACCAAGGACGTGTCAGTCACACTCATAAGGCTGCGTTTTGTTCTATATGAGCCACGCTATACCTTCGACATACTCCGGTGGAACCCAATGGTGATGGGTGTCGATTTTATCGACCTGCGCTTGAGCAGGCCAAGGAAATTTATTCGAAAGAATCCATTCTGGTACTTGGTTGAAGACTTGGCTGGAAACCATAGTCGATAGCAATGATAGTGTCAAGAGTCGTACTCTGATAATCAGCTGCTTCAGATCCTGTCCTCGTAGCGACCGCAATGTCACCCTTTTGTAATTAGTGATTACATGCCGAGGAGTGGTTTTGCTCGCATGGCAGGCAAGAATGTGGCTGGGGAGAAGTTTTGCTGATCGTGGGGAACTTTGTGGAAGATTTCCGTTTCCGCTCATGGTGCTTCGTCCGTCGGACGAACTTAGACCTACTGTCTTGACGGAATCAACCGCATACTGCGGTTCCAATCATGATAATGTCAATGAGGATGACGATACGGTATTACGCTTGAACAGCTACCAAGTCAAAGCATTCTCACGTACAGTGCTGTTTGGTGTAATCGAAAGATACGTGCTGCATTGCTTAACGCATACTTGGACACTCGGGCCTTAGAGGACAAACGCTTCTGGTGCTTCCCTTCGTCCTTGCAATTCAGAAACATCAGCTCTTGTAAGACTTTGCAGAGAATCAACGATCTCACAGAAGTTATCAAACGCGGCACGTATACGCTGGAAGACTTGGGGAGGACAATCATCGTCACGACAAATGTGGGCAAAACTTCTTTCTCTGGTGGTATCGCTACCAGTTCTGATGAGCTGATTGTGGTACAGATATCCTCTTCACCGCCTCGAGCAGGAAGGCGCCACATCGAACTGTATGGGAAATAACCACTTGGCGCAGTGGTCAGCGTCTTGAAGCTTCTACTTGTTCCAGAACCATGCATGATCACATCTGCTCGCTGCATGTAACGGCGCCGAGGATGCCTTTCGCTGGAACCAGCCAGAATAGATCTTCCTAGCCCTCTATCTCTGGAATCAAAGCGGACTCTCTACTTCTACGCTTGGTCGAGGAGAGACTGGAGTCGCACGAATTCGTTTGGGAAACTGCCACTTCACTTGCTTGCTCACCCGCTACAATTTTGGTTTATTTTGTGCCCACTCATCTTGCTTCAATTTCTTCCGTTGAATTTTGCCGGAAATCGTCTTGGGCAGAAATGTGCTAGAGCCTCTGTTAGCATAGCCTTCAAACGCATCAGACTATTCTGCAGGTCAGCAACTTACGCATCCACGAATTGCACCTTTCTCGGATACTTGTAGGGCGCCGCATTTGCTTTACAGTAATCCTGCAATTCCTTCACTAAGCCGTCTTGATCTTTCTTGGAGTACTCCTCCGTCAGTACAATGAACGCTTTGACGACCTCCCCTCTCGATTGGTCTGGCGATGAGACCACAGCACTCTCCACAACAGCAGGGTGTTGTTTGAGGACAGATTCGACTTCAAAAGGTCCAATGCGGTATCCAGCGGAATTGATGACATCGTCATTTCTCCCTACGAACCAGAAATAGCCATCTTTGTCTCGGGTTGCTCGGTCTCCCGTTGAATACCACGCTTGACCCTTGCCTTCTGATGATTCAACGAGTTTTCTGTCCAGGTTTCCGTTCTCATCGAGATATCCATCGAAGACACCGAAGAAATTCGAACTTTCGTTCAAATCGACCTTGACCGCAATGTCACCTTCTTCGTCATCTGCGGCGATCTTCCCGTCGTCGTTCACCACGTAAAGTGGTGTGCCAGGAGAAGGTTTCCCCATCGACCCGGGTCGAATCTTGTTTCCTTTGAAATTACCACACAAGAGTATAGTCTCGCTTTGCCCGAATCCGTCGCAGATCTCCATACCGGTTGTTTCTTGCCAGAGGCGAATTACTTCAGGATTGAGGGGCTCGCCAGCTCCGGTACAGTGTTTTAGTGCCTTGGGCTTGTTCTGTTTGATGTACTTCCGTTGCTCGTCGAGGACTAATTGACGGTACACGGTAGGAGGAGCGCAGAATGTGGTGATGGGGTATTCATGAAGAATATCGAGAGTGGCTTTGGGGTTGAAGGCTCCTCGATCATCGTGAATAAATAGGCCTGCTCCGCAATTCCACGTTCCTAAGAATGCCCAGCCAGCTTTCGCCCAGCCTTGTTCTGTTAAAACCCAGCTGAGAAATCCGGGCTTCAAGCGATGGAAGTGCTTGCCGGTGATCGTATGGCCCAGAGGGTAAGAGATCTGATTGTGTTGCACCATTTTAGGTGGACCAGTGGTGCCTGAAGTGAAGTAGATCATGCTTGGGTCTTTGATCCCAGGGGCAGGACCACTGAATCTTGCGTCCCGTGGTACTTTGTCCAGAGCCTCACTCAGGAGTACAACACCTTCTGGAGCCTTGCCATCCAACTGAAAGACGTGCTTGATCGAAGGACAGTTCTTCCTGACTTTCAAGAACTTCCCGACGGCTACCGTGTCGCCGAGGAAGACCGACGCTCCAATTTTTTTCACTCTGTACTCAATGTCCTTGTCAACAAGTAGAGTCGTAGCCGGGCAGATCACGATCCCACTCCGCAGACCTGCTGTGGCAATCTCCCACCACTCGGGCAGTCGCGGCATGATGATCAGCATTTTTTCGCCTTTCTTGACTCCAAGATGTTCAGTGAACATGGCAGCAAGTCTGTGCGATTGCCGGCTGAAATGCTCGAATGAAAGTCGCCGCTCCGTCTTGCGATCTTGTGAGATCCAATGCATGGCACATCCATCTTTGGGGGCATTCTTTGCCCAGTAGTCCACCACATCTGTGGCGAAGTTGAAGGACGTTGGTCGCTTAAGCTGATCGTCGTAGTAATGAGCCATGTTTGGTATTTTGGAAGCTGCAATCTTGCTGGAATAATAAGACAGGAGATTGAGCAGTCACGCCACTTCGAGCTTTTGATGTCCAATGCTGTATGGGTCCCAGTCGATTGAAGTCCTTCTAGGGCTGGGATGGGGGGAAAATATAATCCTTGAAGGCAACGCGGAGCCTTATGCTTGACCGGATCCGGGATGCAATCAATTTACACAGCAAGCGAGCCACTTCCTCAGGTCATGTTACAAGCGATTTCGCCAGTGCAGGAACAAATACCGGTCCGGCCGGACCTGTGCTCATGTGGTGAGCGAGGGTTGCGGGGAGGTGAACACCAAAGTGGAGACAGATCTGCATAGAGTTTCTTAGATGCGGCCATTACCGAGGCTGCATCAGGTTGCATGACTGGGCTTCCGCTCATCCAGGTACTGTCAACGAGACAGAGCGAGAATTGAGAACGAATCAGGTGATTGATGGAAGCAGAGACTAGAGAGAATGCTAGAATGGCGACACCTTGATGGAACTCTTATTTGTACTGCATGTGTCTCATCATCTCCTCAAGCCGCGACCTTCAGCACAGCTCTTCCTGGCAACTTGCCCGCAATCATGAGCTGGCAGAATTTATCCACGTCGTCGAGTGTGCCCTTGGTCAAGATGGGATGAACGAGATCGCGAGCGCAGAAGTCAAGGGCCTCTTCGACATCCTGGAAAGGGTCAGCGTATGCTCGTCTGCGATCAGACCGATTGTTGCTCACCTTCAATGTACCAGTCACAGATCCAACAATATTGAGCCTCTTCAATGCCATCATGAGTGGCGGAGCACCAGCGACCACGTCAGTCTCAGCCGGGAGGCCAACAGCTACCATTGTGCCTCCAGGCCTCAGAAGCGCAGGTCCCAAAGCATACGCAGCTCGGCTCGCCGCAATAACAATTGCACCATGAGCACCATACGTCGTCAACTTCTCCACCTCAGCAGCCAAGTCCTGCCCGGCCGTGAAATCGAGATAATGCTCCGCTCCGAGATCTGTACAAAGCTTCCTCTTCTCTTCGCCGCCATCGATCGCAATTACTCTCATGCCGAGGGCCTTCGCATACTGCACAGCGAAGTGTCCTAGACCTCCTCCTGCACCAATAACAACGACCCATTGGCCCGGACGTACAGCGCTGCGCTTGCAGGCTGTGTATGCGGTCACGCCACCACACATGATAGGACCAGCCTCTTCGTCCAGCACGCCCTCGGGAATACGAGTGGCGTAGCGACCATCGGTGAGGCAGTATTCTTGGAAAGTGCCAGGCGCGGAGAAGCCCGAATTGATCTGGGACTTGCAGTGCAATTCATCGGTACCATTGGTGCAGAATTCGCACTTTCGACAGGTAGAGACGACCCATTTGACTCCAGCTCGGTCACCGATCTACTGAGGCGTTAGCGAGACCAATAAAGATGAGGTCGTACTATGTAATGAATTGAAGTTTACCTTCCAGATGTCAGCCACGTCGGGATGAACAGCGACAACTTCGCCAGCGCCCTCGTGCCCAGCAATACCAGTTGTCTGCTCCATCATGGCAACACCGAATGCCTTCCATTCGTCGTGTATGAGGGACTTGTCGCTCGCACATAGACCAGTCCAGTTGATCTTGACAAGAATTTGCCCGGGACCGGGCTGCTGCGAGACGGGGACTGTCTTCACTGGTGCCGTAGCATCGTGGCCACTGCCGACTCGAACAGCAGCTCGTTGTTCTTTAGGTAGACCTTTAGCAGTAGCTGACGCGCCATTGGTCCCATTGGTAGCAGCGTTGTCGTAGGTGAAAGGATCCCTATGTGGAACAGTCCAAAGACCGTCCGAGTGTTGACGAACGTGAGACATGTTAGCGAATTGCACTTTTCCCACCGCAGACAAACTCAGCAAATGCAATTGCTACGACCTGCCAAATTTCAGCGCACCGGCTGAGACGAGAATAAATACCATGAAATCGTAGTCACCGTGTCATTACGCCTCACCCCGCAGCATAGAGTTGCCTTTGATGCGCATCCCCACCACAACCCATTCGAGCTGTGCATCCAGAGAGGGGAACTTGATCCATCAGGCCCAGCATGTCGGTGTGCAGCACTGACACGAGTCGACCGATGTGAGAGGTGTGAGAGCGCTACTGCTGTACCCCACAAGGCGAGCTCTTTCCTGCAGCAGATAGCTCACGCCTCCCATGCAGGGTTCGCAAAGAGTCCGTAGAAGCTGAAATGGTCTTCCAGTTGGTCGACCGCCGCTGTGTTATCAAAGTGCCCTGTGAGTCGATTGATGGCAACTGCAGTGCAGGAGAAGAACCCTACGAAGCCACCAGGACAAAGAAAGCCGCGCACGGGGCCTAGTGTAGAAATGCTTTTCATAGTCATGGCTGAGTCTATGCTACCGCTACATCTTCTACCGGCGCCTCGCTGTCGTACGTATGTCTCAACTCTCGATCCAAAGAGGATGCGAACACTGCGCAAAGCTATCATCAGCTAACACTGCTATGAAGCTCATGATACCACCTTCTCTCGCAAGGTCCCGATGAACATGGCGCCCGATACTCCTTGATCAGCCCGATCCTCCACCAGCATAGTCTGTGCCCACAGCCGCAGACTTGGCTCGCCATCTTCTCTGATGAGGTAGAGCGGTGGGACTGTGATACTGCCGCAGCCTTTGCCACGATGGTCTCGGGATTTCTCGACAACCGCGCGTACACGCTCGTTCATTTCGCTGTCGAGAACGGGCAGTGACGTCTTGCCTTGCTTCAATTGGTTCTTGTCTTCGGTGCCAAAAACGTCGTTGATCAAAGCCGGCACAGCGTCACGACCCAGCCAGAGGAATTGTGTTTGTCCGTCGTCGATGAGGTACAATCCGAAAGGCACTATGTTGCCTGATGTGAGGTTCAAAGGAGGCGGCATAACAATTGCGCCGGTCTCAGGATTTGGCAGACCGGCATCATCTGGCATGTCATGCAACGAGTACATTCGGGGGTAGATGTATTGCATCAGTAGTGGCAGTGGCAGTGTCGACAGCAAGCAAAGTGCTGCACTGCGGAGGTCGGTCGGGATCTGTGAGGACTTGCGGAGACCAAGCTAGAACGTATCAGTATTCTGTGGGAAGTCGAAGAGGAATTTGAACTTACATGTTTCATCAGACCCAAGAAGAGCATTGGCATTGCACGCATGTTGGCAGGGAACTGGAGACCACCACCGCCCATGTTGCCTCCTCCAAGCTCTTTCTTGTATGTCTGAAGCAGCTCAACGATCTTGGCCTGCAATGCGTCACGAGCAGCATCGAGACCGCTGCTGAGCGCTCTCTCGACGGCCTTGTGTGCAAAGTAATGCGTAATCGCCTGCTGATCAGCTGAGGCGTACACATCTGCCATGTTTTGGGTGACAGGTATGCTCAGTGTCATCACACGAATTCTCCGCTCGCCGTTGCACGTCGTGTGAAGAACACCGACTTGCAGGCACGCGAATGCTTTCGTTATGCTCTCGTCAATGGCAATCTCGACAACATATGCCTGGTCGCGGGGCATAGCTGGGAACGCGCAAAGGTCGCTGGACCGGTTGAAGAAGTTTCCGTAGAAGGCGCTTGGTCTGAGTCCAGTAGTAGTTCGCACGCGCAGAACAGCTTCAAGACCGATTTCGGATGACAGGTAGTCGCTGAACTCAGTAGCAAACTTGATCGCATCCTCCGTTCGTGCAGCATTCCAGGCTGGGTAGAAGTACGTTTGGCCACCAGTGTATCTCGGCAGGTTGCTCAAGCTCGCCACGTCCTGGTACTGCGCGCTGAACAAGAACATGTCAATCGACACCTGTGTCTTGCTGCATTCCACGGCGAAGCTCTTGTAGAAACTGTTCTGCGTCTGGAGTAGACTGTTCTCTTTCGAGGTACCCAGCAACTTTTTGTCCTCGCGCATATCAAGTTTGCCGAAGCCAACATTTGGTAGCGATGCAGACAGGACTACGATCTTGCCTCCGATATGGCTGATCAGCTTGTGGCCCGCACGGAGAGCAGAACCCATCGCGCTGCTGTTGTTCTGTGTGTTGGCAAACATGCCCTGCAGTTTCTCCAAGAAGGCTTCGATGTTGGCGCGGCACTCAGTGAGATTGACCAAAAGATCTTCAGGAGTCGGCAGGAAAGGTTCGTCCAGGTCGCTGACCACAAGCATCTTGGCTTCGTTGTTCTCGCCTCCATCTCGGGGAATGCTGAAGTAATGCAGCGAACTGTCGACTGCCATGAACCCCAATCGTGTCCTTCGATCTGTGTTCGGGATCCGATCCAGACTCTCCAAGATACATCGCGCAGCAGTTGCCAACAAGCCGCTCGTGACGCCAGAATAGCTGACGTCGAACAAGAAGAGGTAAATCAATGGTTGGGGCGCCCGAACCATGTATTCTTGAGGCGCAACGAACTCGCTCACTGCGTAATTGAGTTCAGGTCTTTGCCAGCGGTCGACAGACTGCTGCTTCACACTGTCCCAATCGAAGCTTTGCGGTACGTCGTTTGTGAGGTTGCACATGTTACACCTCCACCGATGCGAGTGATCCAAGAAGCTCGCGAATGGGTTCATGTATGTTCGACATCTCCTGCATCGGGCAATGACCTGATCATACTGCACCGGTACGTCGTCCTCGGCATCGTGCAGCGCCGCATATGGTTGGATGATGAGTGCAAAAGGCAGCTTGCTCTTCTTGAGCAAGGAGTTCGTCGCCGGCATCGCGTTCAAAGTGGATCGGACGTATTTGGGCGAGCAGTTCGCGTGCGGCGAAGGCGTGACAGAAGACTGATCACCGCAATTAGCAGACATCCACGAGAAAGCTCTGGACCATACTCACGTTCGGTGGGAGGATGATTGGAGGCGGAGCTTGGTCCAAGTCGCTAACATGGAAGGGCGCTCCTTGTACACTGATATCCACTGGTTGTAATGGGTTCAGACGCATCTGTACGCCTTGCTGCTGGGGTGGAAGCGGCTGTGGTGCCTGCGCGCCCATTCCCATCTGTCCAAATTGCTGCGTCATGCCGGCTACGCCAGGTTGCCCAGGTGTCGGATATCCAGGCGCAGGAGCCTCGTACCCGCCTTGACCGCCATAGGGAGGCTGTGGGAAGCCAGCACTCTGAGGCGCTGGGCTGCCCATTCCAGGCGCTCCGTAAGCTGGCTGCTGGGGCATGCCATACTGTGCTTGTTGTGGCTCTACAGGTTGAGCCTGGTATCCGTAGCCCCCATACGGTGCTTGTGCGGCTGGCTGGCCTGGATATGCCCCTCCTGCTGGCGGCACACCTCCTGCCGCTGCATTTCCCCCAGCACCAAATTCGTATGCTTGTCCAGCATATCCGCGCTTCTTCTTTGCTGGAGCTGCTGCGGGCGCAGGCTGCTGTTGACCATAATCATCTCCTGGAGCGTACTGTCCATCTTCGGGATTGGGCGCGCCATCGTAAGGCGGCTGTGGAGATGCCATGGCGTCGAATTATCTCCCCCGGCGGCTTGTCGAGCTCCCTTGCGCTGAGTGTGAACAGAGCGGGAGCGCAGCGAAGGAGCCAAGGACGAAGACGGATGGAAGAAGGGCGAGGAGCCGCTCCAGGCGACAGTGTTTAGGGGTCGGTGTTGTAACGTGGCGGAAGGTGAAGTAGGAGCAATGTTTAGATGCGGTTCGAGGGGAAACCAAGCTTCACATGCCACTGGGGTGAACAAGTCGCACAAGCTCACAATTCGAGCTCCTTCAAGAAATCAGATTTGTGCATTTTATCTTACGGAACCATCTATCGACTACTCGACCGCGCACAATTTTGGAGTCCTTCGGCAACCGGTCGACTGTGATAGCTCGTTGCAATCGTCGCCAAGCGCCAGCTGGTATTTGGTGTCCAAAGGTCCAGTCCCGAACACCTGGCTCCAAACACAATGACGAAATGATGCCTTGATGCCTGACGATGCAGCAATACCAGTACTGTACTGTATCTGGAGAATATCAGTCCACCGTATGCAAATGGTAGTCATGAGGCCTTTGCATGGAGTGAGCGAATGGAGGGCTTCTTATCGACTACGACTAGAATGCCTTGATTAAAGGTGCCTTGGACCGTAAACCTCTGTCTCGGCTGAAAGACTTCTACATAAGGCCGGGTAGACCCTCATTGATGTTATTATAGGACTGTTGACGGTCTCGCGGCGGGCACATCGAATAAATCGTATCACTGGAAACTGCGTTGGCTCGAGCATGCGAGACAGTCCTTCGATCTCTCTCGAAGTCTCATCTCTACCCATTGCATTACAGTAGATCGTGTTGAGAACTCTTGCCTGCTTGTCTCAGATGATGTTCTTTGCCAGAAACAGATCCGCCTCGAGATCACGGCTTCGACTGCAGTGAGATACACCTGGAAGGTTGTCACGACTATCAAAGCTCGGGTGCCATAATATTGCACGAGAAGAGCTCGTGATCGATGGGTTTCGTCAACATCGGTGCACATCCGAGAAAGGTCGAGTCGTTCCAATACAGCCGCTTGGCGCAGTACCCGAGTCCGTAGCACTGGCGGCTGGTGCTGAATCGCCTGACAGATATGGTGCCCACGTACATACGTGCCGAGCACAGCGTCTACGTCTCGATAGCTTGCCTGCATGACCAGAGCACTGGGTGTGAATTGGAGAACTGACCAGGTGGCGGCGACGGCGGTTGCCATAGGCTCTGCAATGGATGCAGAAGGAGCGATGTCTACCCAGGCACCACATCTCTCTTTTCGACATCACCCATTGCTCATGACACAACTTCGCCCTCTCGTGTGGTACTCATCTTGCAGGCAACCAGCGGTCGCGCACGAATATGCACGATATCTGTTCGCTGCTGTGTAAGGTCACGACTGTCACATTGGCTGTCGGCGCACATGGCAACTGGGGAGCTTCGTGAAGCGGCCATCAAGGGCCTGGACCGGCAAGCCTAAAATAAGAGGTCGCTGCTATTACGGAGAATCCAAGGAGTATGCGTGTTGCGAGACGAAGGTTGCGGTGGCATGGTGGCCGGAGAGGAGAGCGAAGCAGTGGCTGGTGGCTGGTGTTGGCGAACATCCACACGGAACGAGTCAGCACAAGCGAAAGCGGTCGATGATGGAAGCCGGAGCACGAGCACCTGACGATGACAGTACCAACAACACATCTCCCAACACTGCTTGGAACACGCTGTCATGGCCGCTCTCATCCCCAATCCGCCGAGAATCCCACCTAGCCAGTCGTGCGCTCAACATGTTTTCACTTTGCACGCTGCATCGATTCCCTCCTCTTGGGCGCAGTAACTTTCATTGGGTACCTGGACTAGATGTACTTTGGTACTCGCCCTTGCATTGCACGATTGCTCGTCAAGCACGCTAGCCTTAGCTGCAGCCGACCTGCAACATGTCGTTAAGCCGAAGATCCTCTTGCGTTATCACGATTGGTCTTCACAAGACAGTTGAGGTACACGCGCCTGCAGGTATGGAGTACGAACGACGGCGGCAACATCTTCACTCTTCACGATGCCGTCGCAGCGGCTACGCGATGTCGCACTCCGCGCGCGCTGGCGCCCTTGACGCCGTCACCGCCAGACGGAGCCGTTTCGAGGAGAAGCTGCATCCCGGTCGGGCGTGTCAACGACACTCGTTAGCTGGCACGCCGAGCGTAGGAGCTCGCACGCTTGCAACGCAGGCACACCCCACCGGTCAGCGCTGGAGTCGCGCCGAACACGCTGCCGTCGTCAGCGCGAGC